GATAATAATATTAATATTGATGTTGAGGTGTAATGAATTCCACCGAATTAAACTAGTCAAAACTACGAACGTGCGATCAGAATACGGTCATTTTTACCGCTCACCAAATGACCGTAAAATGTGTGAACATGACTAGGGGGCATAATCAAAATGACTTTTAGGATGGCTAGGGAGGAGGATTTCCTTTTTCATTGATACTGGACCATCGAGACATCTGCCCAGTATTGTGTGTAAGCCTCGCAAAGGGAACCCGTTTTGATACCAGAATCACAAGTGAGACATTCGGTATTTGGTCAATAGAAGATGGAAAAGGCAGAAGTGATCAGATGATAAGTGACTCGTCTATTGGAAATAGAAAATTGTGTGCAAGCATACAAGTAAGTACGAGGAGAAACTGCTCAGATAGGGCGGAATAACACCGACAGGTGGATATGACTGAAGTGAGGGTGTGATGTTCATTGTAATCTTTGACAGATCACATCACACAGACAGATGAACATGAAGATGAGGTAAAGTAGCGGGGGAATCAACCAACAGGTTGCGAATTCATCCTACTCATTCCACACCCATTCAGAGTCCAAGACGATGGCAACACCCACCATCTCCTTTCGTTTTTCTCAAAGCCCAAATTTAACCAGCTAATCATCAGAGTTAGACATCAACAGTATGGGTCGAAAAGAAATGAAATCTATGAATATGTGGAATGGACCACGTAGATAGATCCGCACATCAACGCATCAGTATGCCTGATTCCGTATTTAAAAACCCGAGTACTGTGATTATGAATGGTAAAATAAGCATTTAAACAACCCTATCATCAGCATCTCAGATAGTGAGTTATGCTTATCTGAACAGCAGTGAAAGCATCGGGACCGTTATTTCGAAAATGAAGTTAGTGTTGCATGACTTGGCGTAGGAGCATGAAGCTAGCTTCGGTTTTGACTTCGGTTCACGCTTCGCACCCTGTTGGTTGAGGCCCAAGAAGTGAGGACTGTTGTTGGTCAGAGAGGCTGACAGATACGGCTTGGAACCGAATCCAGTGGCGCGAATGCTGTAAAGCATATATATATATATATATATATATATATATATATATATATATATATATATATATATATATTTGACATCTGATTAATGATTGTTTGTGGCGAGTAGGAATTTCTGACATAAAAAGCGGCACAGGCTCACATGACATCTTTTTACGCCTTCACAGAGTTGGACTCATATTGACCACTTTGCCGTTGGTCACCGCTGGCGTGGATCAACCGAAGACTGTTGTTCATTTTGTGGACTTGCATCACACTTTGGTATGTGCTCGATTCTGGTCAGGTTTCGTCTGTGACTGCACTAACACTAACGTCATCCGCCTCGCACATTCGCTTCCAGACGACAAACGGCGATTTGCTTTCCAGGCTAAAATCAACGCTGCTTCCAATGCTACTCAAGACTCTAGTTCAAGTACATCCCACAAACGATGAATATCTTTCACATTAGTTGCTTTCTTAGATGCTCGCAGATCCGTCCCGAAAGATGCCACATGCAGTACGGTGCGCAAATCTCGGAAGCGTCAACCGACTGAGTTTCAGAAATGACCGTAAGCATTAGCGGATTGCAAAATATAGTGAAATAAAGAAGACTGCGTCTACTGGCAAAAGTAGTAATATTTGCCGTTTAGTTAGAAGTAGCGGTCCACGGAAGCCCGATGTAAGCCAATCAAGGAATCCGACAGTTTACTGATTCACTATCGGGGGCGTCGTCTGAACCGTTGGGTTAAGCACTTAAAGCAGTTCAGTCGGCTCACTTCTACAGCGACACTTCCGATAATACAGGTAAGAGAACCGATGCAGTTATATAACACTACTGCATCAGAAATGGAGATCATCCCACAGATAGGTAAACCGAAAAAATATAACGTTCCTGGACCGGATGGGCTGTCACCGTTATTTTTCAAGGATGGAAACGAAGCTTCGCTTTCGGAGTTAAGAAAACTCCTGGGATAGTGAGCAGATCCTCAAGGAATGGTGACTCAGTGGTAGTGCCGATTTACAAGAAAGGCAATAGGCCCGTTTGTGAAAACCACAGAGGAATTAACTTGGTAGATATTGTATCAAAACTGTCCGCTGGGGTTGTTCACCACCGGTTATCTACACAGTGAGAAGTGGAAGTGTGAGAATCAAGCCAACTTCGGACTCAAAAAGAGATGAAAACCTCGGCCAATGGATTTGACCAAGTAGGACGCGTCAGACCCACCTATCAGATGGTTACAGACATTAAGTGATATAACTAGGTGTCGCGACCAGTGGCGTAGTTGCATTCGAACTCTTTTTTTTTCCTCGTGATTTCTATTTCTTACCTTCCTTCGGCTCTTTTTCGCTTCGTGCTTCCATTCTTTTTGTTCTTTACTCGACGGTGCTGAGGGGTGGCAACCGAAACCAGAGCACAGAAGTTCAAGGCTGATGGCTAAATGAAATGAAGTGAACTGATGTGACTTTGGTATCACATCAAATGGTGCACGAGGGCTCGGCAGCTGATCGTTAGTTTAGGTGGGATTTGACCTAGAATAACAATCATAGGACGAACAGAACAGCGGTGTTCGCAATTCAACTCGACAACGTAACAACAACATCAAAATTTAATGTCCCTTTAGTAGACGTTTTGTTCACATCTCCCCCAATTATATTCTATTTGCGTAACCTCATGTAGGAGGCAAACGTTTATACTATAATGTAAAAAACAGAAGGGCTTACAAAAGTCATACAAGTATACTCATGTTTTATAACTCACACTAATTCCCTGACACCAAACGAATTTTATCATCTAAAATCAATCAGCATAATCGTGGGGGAAAACATAGCAGGGAAATGAGAAACCTGTAATTAGCAATTATTTGATCTAGCATCCAACTGACAATAGAGAAATTCGATCAAATTGAGTCTCCTGTAAATAATTCCCTTTAAAAAGCGGCTTCCTATCGATAGCGTACGAAGAGGGACTTGGAACTTGACTGAAAGTCTGGTTGATTTAATGGAGACATAGAGAAGTGAACCTAAGGTCGCATAACGAAAACCGTCTATGTAAAAATTGCACATAAAGTTCTCGCCAAAAGAGTGCTACTGGGTTCAGCCTGACACAATGCTTTGTAATAGGATGACACCCAAATACATCGGGGCAATGGATAAAACTCGATCGTGCAGAGCCATATATGGTATTCGCTAAGTTGTGCAGATCTCTACAATCTTCGAATCAGTTATAAGCAAACGCTTGAATCATCAGATAACGAATTCAAGTCCACAATGATTTCAGACGAGCGAAAGTAGACCATCTGGAGAACGGAGTAGTTCTTATGTTGCAGATTTAGCAAACTATAATGACTAGTAAACGGCATAAGAATAATCGCTCGTCACCCTTTCCTTCTACTCTGATGTTTCGGACAGTGCGTTGTGCAATCGCCCCGTGCAAATAGCTGGCATACACGTACAGCCGCCAGGTTGTTGCTTGGAATGGTTGTGAGTGAGTACGTACATACGCGTGCCTGTGAAACGACCCTGAGGGCAATGACGAGGCCAACGGCCGACGTAACGGCTAGGCATGAGGTCCGAAAACTGTCTGCCCTCATTATCGTCTCACTGAATCACAAACACACACACGGACAGACAAACAGACAATGATACGGAGTCAGAAACCGACCGGATTCATTTGGCAACGGCCTGAGCAGACAACTAGGGCATAGTGTCAGACAGAGTATTTGGACGAGCGGATGTACAAACAAACGAGTGACCGGTAAGAGACGCAAAAAGCAGGGAGATATTCTCATACAACCAGACAAATAACAAATACACAGGTATTAAAAAAGAAGCTCAAACATGACGAGGTCCGAGTGTACCAAATCATTCAACGCAAGATAAACGAAAAGTGGAAGCGCTTCATGTTGCGCTAGAGAAGGCAATACAAGGAGGAACCGCGGCTGGTAATACCACGTTTTTAGTACAGACGAGGAGAGCGAGGAACAACGAAAATATCGACATACACAGGTTAGCCTCCGAGGTAACAACAAGTGCCATCTGGGAAGTCCAGATGGATTCGTCCAAAATTGGCAAGTAGTACACTACACCCAATGATTGTCAATTTGGTGATCGTTTGCGCACCTCAGTTCACCATAAAATGCAGAATGTATCGTTACTTTTATCATCCTCAATACAAACGTTTGGTGGACGATCCCAATAAGCTAAGATAAACAACAGGTAAATTCATTTTATATACAACTTGGAACAACTGAGTCGTACACGGTGTACGACTGTCTAACATTCATACGATAACTTCAGGAGCGGCAGCTTACATTATTCATGATAGTAACTACGGAATGCACCTGGAAGACTGAATAGAAGATCCTATTGTTCGTATATACATGTAACTTACCACAATGAAATGGTTTTGATAATAATAAAAGACTGAATCAGTGGAACATGACGAACCTGGCAATGCTACACACATATAGACATACTTAGCATCCATCTAGTCACTAGCACACTTAAATGCACCGGATATTTGCATGAAGCCAGATTTATGAGTCGATGTTAGAAAGTCAACAGCTAGAAAACATATCTAAACTATAAGGCGAAACAGAATTAAACCGCGGGATACAAAATTAAACTGGACAACCAACTGTTCTCCTAGTTTCATCCTGCAAGTACAATTTGTGTGCATTTGTGATTCAGCGCACGGAAAGTGAGGCGGAATTAGCGAAATCGGATTATTCGAAATGTACACACACACACACACACACACACACACACACACACACACACACACACACACACACACACACCAAGCAGGAAAGAACTGACATTAATAGTTAGGATAACGGAAGAGTACTCCCAAGGGAAGAAAACGTGGGTGGTACTCGGAATACTTGATGCAGCCCGATCGTATGCTGAATTATCCAAATGCAAACAACAACAAAACACGAAATCCGTCATTACCGAACACAGCGGACAACTTACCGGTATTGAATTCCAACAAAAAGGGGCTATCCGCCAGTTCCAATGCCACCATATTGGATGAATCCACATTCTCTGTGCCGACTTTCACACTGACTATTCGATAGATCAAGCTCGCCATCTGATGTGCACTAGTCACCTCCACGGTTGTGACCGCCTCACCAATCGGTACGGCTTCAGCCACCGAGGCGGTGTAAAACGCTGCGGTAAACCGAGGCCCGTCAGTCGAGACCAGATGAATGGTTACGGTAGTACTCGATGACAGACCACCACCATCCACGGCTAATACCGTCGCGATCATGTGACGTCCGGTCCAGTCGGGGGGAATCATGCGTAACACGGAGATTAGACCGGTGTTCGGATTGATAGAGAGGAAAGGTGGTTCAGCGCGCGGTCGGATACTAGCCAAACTGTATGTTACGGTCCCATTCCGACCCTCGTCTATGTCGATGGCAGTGACCTAGTAACCGAAGAACGAGTAATCCGCAAAGGGAGTAAAATAGACGCGTGAATATAAGGGGTAGTTGTTAGAAAGCTGGTAAAAATAAGCGGAAGTTATCAACTGAACAACCGCAAACACGGCTGTTTCACCGGACTGCAGTACGGCTGTCGTTTTAGATGGTAGCTACTCATTACGTTTGGGAAGAAAACTTCGCGGTGTATTCTGAAACTGAATGCTCCCACTTTATCTCTCTCTATCAACCGATATTTGCGGAAATTCGGTAACCGACTTCCTGGGGCAAAAAGCCACTAAACCGGAAACACTTGATACTATTCAACCTATTTAGAAATCATTCACATTCAGAGAGATCCAAATGTGGAACCTAAATCCCACACTTAACTGCCCAGTTCACTTCCTGACCAGTACCCATCTCAATCTCACCACATATCTCACACATGGCCGGTTATGAATTTCATCAAGCGAGATTCGTGTGAACCGTCTCACTTGATGCAACAATATGCAGAGTGAAGTCGAAGACGGAAAAGGGACGGACCATATCAACAAACCCAACAAACATCGGTATTTCACGCAAAATGCCAGCTCGAAAAGCGGAACAGAAATTACCGACATTGATAAATGAACACGTTGCTTGTGTGTATCTGGGGAGGAGGGCGTGATACGCACATTTCTGTGAGGAACAACATTAACATGTTTGACCAGTAAAAAGGAGACTGCAGACAGCAACAATACCATGAGAAATGTTTCTATTTAGCTGGAAGGCTAAGAATGGGTGGTGCATCTGATGAAGCATGGCTGACGCATCGGACCGCGTGCTGTATTCACGTCATACCCAGTTATGCAAGAACGATCCCTGCGTTGAATTTATGTGTAATCCAGAATGGCATTATCCGGAGGTGCGTGCGTGACTAAAGCACCGTGTGAAACATGCGTAACTAAGTTTTAAGGATGGGAAAGAGATTACGAAGGATCACTTTTTACACTGCTGCGGCAATTTTCCACGAGAATTCGATCTCGTCGGGTAGGGTCATCGCGAACATTGGCAAGCAATCAGACCGAATTCAGACGAAATAAAATCACGTATGAAACAACCTAATGAACTAGGAAATAACTAGTTTCCACCTTAAGAAGTGTTTGATGTGTTGCACGATACGGTATACTTGGAGAGAACAAAGCGAGAAATAATGGAAGAGGGAAAGTTAAAAGCAAATCAATTCGAAAAAGAATCAAACCTGGATGTGATAATGAAATATACAGCTAAAGTGTAAGTCATGTAGACGAAAAAAGAACTGAAATCCGACGACACCCAGTTTTGTCATCTATTCTCTCCAATCAACTAGATGGGTCGTGTGGGCCCTAACCAAGAAGCCTAAACAGCATGTTCGGCCCAGCCCGTTGGTTAAGGTCTTCATATTTTTCGGTATGTCATCAACCTAACTACTCTGATCGCTATCTGCCTAAGGGAATAATGCACGCCAAGGGAGTCTGTAGGGATGCATAAGAGATGGTTCAAGCAACCCGGACTGTTCAGATTCGGTGCTTTTGCTCCGTAGATGGACCTCTGGTTCCCAACGCCCCACGCACAACCGCAGAGTTGAGGATATGGTATTTCTACTAGATTCAAACAATGATGCGAGGAATTTGGGGACCTAATATCAACAGGTATCCTGGAATTTTTATTTTGTAATGGACACGTTTCTGTGCCACACAAAGGGGTTCATCCAACTATTGCCGCGTAAACTCTACACTAGATGAACAACGCAATGTCACATCGACGCCACAGGTAGCTGAGAATAGTTTAAAAAATGGACGGGATTTTTGTTTACACGACAACACTTCATCCGATATCCGACTACAAGGCGACAAAACGTACCAACTTCAATTAAGGTTTTCCGTGCCAGGATAAGGTTTTCTGCAAGATCACTCAAACCCTGCACCAGTACTGTGAAATTTGTCTTGCGCAGACCGCACCAAGCTCGTCCCGGAACTTGCTACCACTCAATAGCAAGCTTTCTTAGACAGCCTAAGCAACAGCGTAGCAATGTTCGGGATGCGTTTGTACCTTCAAAGTGTAAAATGCTGTTGCAGGAATGGGTTGGCTCAACACCAAACCTCTTCTTGGCAGGGGAAGCTCTAGCTGAAGTGGATAAATTTTGTTACCTGGGCAGTTTCAGTTCACCAGGTGGACAGATATTGGATGAAGTGAAATCGCGCATACAGAAGGCGCGTTTGGCTTTTGTCAACCTCCGTCATCTGTGACGTCGGCGTGACTTCCAGTTGTCTTTCAAGGGTCGAGTGTACAATGCGGCGGTTAGGTCCGCTCTTCTATACGGCTCAGAAACATGCCCGTTAAGAGCAGAAAATAGGCGAAGACTGTCGGTGTTCGAGCATCGATGTCTCCGTAGCATTGTCCGAATATGGTAGAAATACCTTATCAGCAATGCTGAAGTTAGATGTATGGTGTTGGGATCCAGATGTTAGTCTCTGGATCAAGTACTGAATTGAAACAGGTTAAGGTGGTTGGGACATAAGTCACGCATGCCCACCGATAGACTCCCTTGGTGTACACCGTTCTCCGATGCAGGTAATGGTTGGAAGATAGGTCGAAGTGGTCAGGCCACAAAACGGAAAAAAGGCATGAAAATCTTGACCACTGGACTTGATCAAGTAGGACTTGCCAGACTTCCGGGTTGAGGGTCCACGTGACCCACCTATCAAATAGTTGGAAACATTGTGATACGATCAGGTGTCATGGCCGGTGGCGTAGTTGCATTTGAACTTTATATGTGTCTTCGTGATTTCTGCTAATTACTTCGGATATTTTTCACTTCATGGCTTTATTCTTTGTGACCTTTACTGGACGATGTTGAAAAGTAGTAACCGAAACCAGAGCATAGAAGTGCGGGGTTAGCGGTTGAATTAACTGAAACTAATCACTCAATCGGAAACCGGAACCAAGTCGGACCAGTACTGGTTTATAGACCGTAGATTTCAAGTGTACAAAGCAACATGATGGGACCTGAGGTAAGGGGAGCACGATCGGAATTCAAATGCACGCATTGCTTCACAGTCCTCGCAAAACCCAGTCAGTTCGCTTTTTTAAATCAATCCAGGGTCGACAAAAAATGACTCACCACAGAGATTTTATACGTTCAAAGTGTAAATGTATCCCAAACATCGTAATAGTGCTTTTTAGGCTATCTAGAAAAACTTGCTACTTAGGTCTTCGCTCAAAAGCACAAGGTTGTCCCCAAATTCAAGATCATAAAGACCAAACCCATTGTATTCAATCGCAAAGCTACGAAAAGGTGATAGAGAACAACCGTGAAGAAACCCTTATTCTCGTGGTGAACTCGCGTGAGAGGTGGTCATATTCACGAGCTCCACTTCAACTGCTCTCATGCAACCACTGAAAAAGAAAGACGATTTTTTCTTCAGTGGGAGGAAACGATAGAGAACTGCGATCGACTGCACTGAGGTTGCCTTTAGATCAAGAAGAAGGTATGACAGCGTCCTGAAATCTACCACAGAGTTAAGATGTGATAAATAAAACCCTGACCGGGTTGGAAACCAGCTTGATTCTCAAGGGTGCATTTTCCACAAACATCGGAAAATTAGCAGAGGACAATGCCAGCGAGCAGTTTGAATACGATACTTATCGAGCTAATTCTTCGGTGGCTTTCACAAAAGGACCTATCAACTTTCTGTAAATGAGCACAGATCCGCGCCACATGTCGTGAACGAAATTCTCTCTGACTAGCCCCAGTTCAAATTGACTGAAATATTCCTCATCGTGATCGTCAACGCTGTGATCAAACTGCGAATTCGGTCAGACTAAAGTTCACTTTACTTTATTCAACCATCAACCTCACACCTCTGCACTCTGGCTTCGGTTGCTATTTCGCGATATCATCGAGTCGAGAACAAAAAGGACGGAAACACCAAGTAAAAAAGAACCGAAAAAAAGTTGTCGAAAATCACGAAGACGAAGACGGAATGCGAGTGCAACTACGCCATTGGCTGCGACACCTAGCGATGGCACTTAATGCCCTAATAGTAGGCGGGTCTCGCAGACCCCAGCCCAGAAGTCAGAAACAGCCTACTTGACCGAGTCCACTGGTCAAGGTGAGTGAGTTTCGGTGAATGGATCCATTTATATCATCAGACGCTGTCGGTTATGAGCGCAGTATTTGAGCATTATTGGGAGAATAGACAATCATCAAAAACTATCTGCAAGAAGTGCAAGAAGCTATATAAATCAGATTCTTGAAAATAAAGCTGTCGCTTTTAATCAACCGAAAATAAGGCAATCCAGACTGTGAACATACATGGATTGAGTACCTGGGAAGAACGAGTATCTTCGGCTTAATGGGTCGCAGGAACCAGGTTCTAAATAGCGCGCGACCAACCGGAGTGCATATAATGAACAGAGAGTGGCGACGGAGTGGAATGAGCTTATTTCGCACAGAATAATAAACCAAGTGATCTATTTGAACGTGAAGGTATATTTTTTCTCTTCCTATCTACGATTTACGTGTGTGTGAAACCATAACCCATATCCTCACCTTGAACTGATTGTAGTGACAAGACTGGGTCGATGAAACCTTCGCCGACTTGTTCGATTCCCCGGTCATCACGGTGACTGCAGTAGCCGTCCGCGAACCTGTACCGACACCGGTGAGAGTATCTGATTTTGGCCGACCAGATATGCCTAGACAGAATACGGCATGATAGGGAATACCAACAAACTCAGGCGCGTGGTCGTTCACATCCAACAGACGTATGCGTACAGAGCTACGACCCAGGCGATTGTGCCAATCCCGCACTAGTATATTCATAATCAGGGTGGGTGTTCGTTCCCGATCGAGTTCCTCTGGGCCTTGGTCACCGGTAGCGTACACTGTCCCAGTTAGTTGATCCACCATGAGTCCGGGTAAAGGATTGAGTACGATGTATCTAGAAATGTACAATGGAATAAAAATAGCTAACTAGGGGCATATACTGTGCCTCGCCACAAGCGCATCAAATTTGTTGATAAATGAAGTTAGTAACAAATAGTTCGTTTTTCATTGTTATCTGAACACGGATGACAGCTGACTTCTTTGGTGTTGCCTACGATTGAAGAATGTGGCACTGGAATTCATTTATAACACTAAATACCCACACGAACAAATCCTCAATAGTATGACTCAAACCTCAGGGGAAGAAACGTAAGATATCTATGTCAAAATACAAAGGCTATGAAGGCGATATTGTCATAAAATACACGAATGAATGGACTTGCGTTAAATGACTCATTCAACCGAGTTCACTCACTATTCAATTTTTCATGGACAAGGTTCCAGCGACCATCTTATTCTCTTGTAACAACAGTGGAACTGAACATTTCTAAAGCCGAAACATGTCGAAACTGCTGCATTCCCCGACAAGCTTTAGCCAAAACACGCAATTGTTTAGCCACGACTCACAATCCTTTCGCCACGGACCACCGTTCTATAGCCACGACCCATAGTTTCTTAGCCTTGATGTAAAATATTCAGCCATATCACTGCGAGCCAGTCAAATTAAAAGTGCTGGAATATTACCATGTCAAGAAATGTTGAAACAACTCATTTTATCAAAGGTTGGAGTTTCAAAGCTGGCTGAAAAACTGAGAAATTGTGACGACTGCATGCTGCGCGAGTGACCGCGTTATTGGTTTCAAAGCTGAACCAAAAAATGATTCGAGAAGGTTTGTACGATGTGCTCGTATCATCGAACCAACCATGTGGCACAACCTGAATGACTGTCGCTTCCAGTGAACCAGTTTTTAACGCACTAGAAATCCCAAACGAATAAAATTAGTAGAAAATCTTGTCTGTGTGAACTTAGTTACTGCTGATCCCAGTGGGTTGAGAAATTGACTGTACGGCAGGAGAAAAACACTGGTGATTGGTATGTAATTGTGCTTCCATAGCCCTCCGACGAACGGGTGTATAGTAAAAGATAAATACTATTAGAACACCAGGTTGTTCGGTAGCAGCAGACGCTGAGCAGCATGAAACTTACTAAAAATATGCCGTGTAATCTTTGTACGACATTCATACTTTAGGATACCAGTGAAAGATGAACATGTTAATGTTCAAGTTACGTCCCTTACTTGACGGTAGATTTCAGATAGCTTTACTAACTACTTTAAAGTACCTATAACTGCGACAATACAATGTTGTAGTTGGTTTCATCAATATGCAATCTCAAGGTTGCTGTACCTGATCGTTGCAGCTAATCGGAAAATTCTGCTCGTTTATATTTGACTGTCGAAGTTTCGTTTCATTGGATGAATGGTCAGCTTCTAAAGTGCATAGTGACACCCGTCCGACAATCGATCGCTGACTGTTGTGCTCGGAAAAAAATTTATCAATCCTCTCCTTCAACTGCCTCAATGTGCTTCTTGGATCTTCGTCCGTCATATCACATGGATGCCTGACAAAGCATTCGTTGAACTTCGTCTCGTAGGATCTAGTTGTGAAGGCTGCTTCCCGATCCGTAGTTGCAATAACAGGGTATATTTTGACCTCAACGTCGAAGTATTTGGCAACGACCTTCAAATCACCTCTTCGTGCATATTCGACTATCCTCCGTCGAACTTCCGTGATGGTGAAACAATACGATCGTCCGTCTGCACCCATTTTAGCGCACTCCTTCTCAAGAAATGGTGCGTATATTGGCAGGTAAAGTATGGCGAATATTACCGCAAACGGTCGCGGTATATATATATATATATATATATATATATATATATATATATATATATATATATATATATATATATATATATATATATATATATATATATATATATATAATCACTCGGCTGCCTCAAAACGAAATATCAGCCAATCGACTACGAGTCTCCTTAAGCAAGGGTAAAATGTTAAAAATAAGCCGTCCTGGGTCATGGCTAAACAGTTAGGGGATTTGGCTAAAGCCTGCTGAAAAAAGCTGTAGAATATGCGGAACTTTTGCTTCTAAATGATAATCGACAAAGAATGTAATTTTTTCAGGTAGAATGAAGGCGTAGTCTTAAAGTGAAACATACCTGGTGAACGGACATCCCTTTAATAAAAAAAACAGTTCTACTCCATCAAGAGTTCAGATATCGGATGAGAGCGCGGAAAGAAAACGCATTCGTTATCAGTTTGAATCATTTGTGACGTCGATGTATCATCCCTTCTTTTGCCAAGGATTGACTGACGCAACAATTATGTTGCTGTGAACGGACGAACGACCCATAGCCGACATAGTTGACAGCCCTTCGGGTGGGATCTGAGTATCACATTCACTGGAAGATTGGACACACTAAAGGATATGACAATACGTCCCAACCTATAGCGATTTTGTATGTATTGTTTTGTTTGTCTGAAACTTTCAACAAGGATACCCTTCTACTAATTAGATGGAATGTTCAACGATTTTTAGGTGATTTTGATCTTTTGTTTAAAAAAAAACAGCCAAAGCACTGCTTCTTTCTTGACCCAAGTCAACGATGTGATGAGACAAACACACGCAATTGGCAAACCCACTGACGGAGTCGTTCACATAAATCCAGTATCATAACACTTACAGCCACTTTTGTAAAGTCCAGTGGTTTATTTGATAAAATTTTATTAAACTACGTACACGCAGTGTATCGGTTTCATGAGAAGTACTTAAGAGACAGATCAGTGTTTGCCAAATTCCATAATCTGAAGTTTGACCATGGGAATATCCTTAAAATCTATACTGTGATCATTTATCTTCGGAACTGATTTTGTAAAGGGATAACGAACAAAACCAACGCATCCAGTGTACGTTTGTTTAAGAAGCAAGTTGTACACCAAGCATACACTCCTAAGCACGACAACGATCAGTCATTTTCAATGTCACAACAACGGAGGTTTATCGCCAGACTCTGGCCACTGAATCATGAGACATACAGAAGCAAACATACAGACACGAACTCCCACGTTCAATGGTGTACGTAAATTAAAATAACAAAATTATGCCCTGAATGGAAATTAAAACATCGTGCTTTGCATAGGATTTACAGTAAGCGTATCAAACGGGGCCAGACAGGGACGAAATTGACAAGGCGCTTCTCGCTACGGTCTAATTCGTCTGATCTGGAAGAAACCTAATTCAACTGAGGTCGTTCGTTGCGCATCTGCTGCTTATGAAAACAAGAGATTTTAACGATGAGAAATACTTGCTCCAAGGGAATTTTGTGGTTAATACGTCTGTCCTAAAACCACGATTTATCGTTCAAGTAGGAAAGAGAAAGATGGACCAAGAGGAACACAACCACGGACGCAGCAGGGCGCCGTGTAACTTGGACAGACAAGACAGAGGTTAATGCGATGAGTGAGTAACAGAAAGAATCGCTTCCTTTAGAGGGAGAGCGGCGAGCAAAGATTTAGGTAAAGAACAAGAGCATCATAAAGTAATGACTTGGAGCGCAGGGATGCTTAAACCTGTAAACTGAACATGAACAATATACGGGCATGATTGAATTCAAATTAAAGTAACCCCAATCAACGATGAATTAACCCGTACACAAGTGGACTGTAGGGAAATGCCAAGCGGAAGAGCATATGTGAAACTCAGATCAATTTCCCACTAACCGATGAGAAGATCCGATCGGTGCATTCCGGACGCTAAACTGTCCAAGTCGAAGAGGTCCTGAGCCCCGGTAGTGCTCGGTCAGTTCAACGTCCAGACCATTCGCGGGATCCACAATCAAATTAGCATCTTCATTCCTCAAGGTGGACGGTAAGGGTCGTGCAAATACGGTCACATTTGTGCGTGCGATGTGTGGAACAGGAAGGTGACTGTCAAAAGCTTCCACTTCAACTAAATATGTGTGCTCGAACACGCGTGATCCGAAATCCAGTAGGGTGGAATTCGGTGCTACACGCAGATCACCCGAGACAGGATCCAAAACGAACTGATCAAAACCACTGAGCAAACGAAGGGAAACCTTGGGAATGGAAAGGTAGGTATATCACGAGATGAAAATATGACGGCAAGTGGCAAAACAAGAATAATTCCCTCGGATAGCATCAGTAACAGTGATAAAAACGGTTTACTTTGAGGGACTGAAGGGACAGGTTCTGCAAGTGGGACTCATGAGACACTCGCCTACGACTGGATGGTCTGAGGTATGCACTTTATTTTCTTGTTGGCTTGCTGGCAGACTGTAACCGCCACGTCAAATTAACATTCACCGTTGTTTCAAAACGAACGCAAGTGGAGATGTTCTTGACCACATCTACTGTTTGCTAGTACTATTTGCAATCACGAAGGCTACCGCGCAACAATCAGCAAAAAACAAGTTGTGGTAAGAACATCATCCTGGAACGTGAAATTGCCGTAGTTTAAGAGCTCTGTATGACTCTTAAACTACGGAAAATACTGCAGATCCTACATGAATCTTGGTTTATCTGCCAGAAGATGAAGTGACAAAGCTCCGTTTTCAATGTTATTGTGACGTACCGCCGCTTGATAACAGCTGCTGTGAATCATTTTCGACAACATTCTGCGGGATATGAGGAGAAAAGTTCAATATCATTTGCCTCAATAACAAATGGAAAAGGAGCAGCAACGATCACATTCTCTATTGAATTCAGTTTAAAAAACGAAACAAACAAAGCCTTACCGTGTCGTTCACATCCGGATCTGTCACAAGTAACCGGGTGATAAATTCATGTTGGTAGGTGGGCAAAGTTAGTGTGCGCATGGAAAACGGTTCTTGGAACGCGGGTGGACTGTCATTCACATCGGACACCTGTACTCGTATACGAATCAGGTGATCCGCAGTTAGTGCAGGTGTGCCAGCATCCGAGACCTCAATTGTCAAATAGTGCTCTGAATTCTGTTCACGATCCAACGCGCGACTGGGTGCGAGTCGAATTAGTCCAGTGATCGGATCAATGTTGAACAGATCATGGGCTTGACGCGCTTCAGCACCGACGAACCGATACACCACTTGACCGTTCGGACCGAGATCCGGGTCGGATGAACTCAGACGAACTGGGATGAGATGACTGGATTGATCACAATTCACTGGCCCCACACATGCTTGAAATATGGGTGTGCCGGGTCGGGCATCTTCGGAGATCACGCCCAGAATGTAAGCAGGTGATTCAATTGTTGGTGGATTATCATTTTCATCAATGATATGTATCTGATGAATGAGAAGTAGGATGATTTGGATATTTGTAGAATTGATGAACAGATTGTAAATCAGAAATAAAAAACGGAAAACGGAACGACGACTATTACTGCAATAACTGATGTAGTGTCACACTGAAATCACAGAGTAACAGGCACAATTGGTTGGAAGAGAGTGGGTGCATGTATAAGGAACAGCGGTGAGGAAGTATCATCCCTATTATGCACAATGATTAACCTTAATGCATGTACGAAAATTCCTCGCTAAGCAATCTGATTTATCGCAGAAACAAAGTTAAGACCGTCACTGAAGGTGGTTTAGTGTAAGATCTACTAGGTTCTCTAACCAACCGGTGTTGGATTACTATATACACCAATCAGAATGACGAGGTGTAACGGCTGCCTAATTAATGGATACTTTTTAAATGATAATCGGAGAAAGCAACGGCAATTGAGTTAAAATCTTAGTCTTCGGTTTTAGAAATAAACGGATGAAATAATTCAAGCCGTAAAACTGCTGAGCACTGACTATGGTGCGCATGTCCCCAGATAGGATTCGTCGGTACGCAACGTTCGATGAGGAAGAAATGGTTGGAAAATGAGTAAGGGTGGCCAGTCCATGACATGGAAGAAATGTATAAAAAGCCCAACCAGTAGACTTGGCCATGTAGGGCATGTCAGGCTTCCTGAGTGGGTCCAAGAGATCTCCCATTCAGAGGTTAGATACGCCCAAAGACATGGCTCGGTATGGCGATCATGTACTCACATCTGATTTGTCGATCTGAAATTATTTGTAGTTCTCCTCTTACTCATTTCATACTTTTTCAATATTTCTGACTGAGCAATAGAAAGCAAAGCCGCCTCACCCCGCGCATGGTTACTGGTTGGTTGAACTGAACTGACCATTATCTTCTAGGGAATGAGTACGTTTGACTAAGAAGCACAAATCAAGTTCAGCAATAAGTTGATAAATGTTTAATTGTTCGATTTGTCACAAGTCGTTGACCCCGACGAGATTCGAACCCACGCTTCAGTACCGTATATGCTTTGCCAACCTACTCATGGAGGCTACGTGAAAGGGCTTTGAAGTGAGCAGAACTAGGTAGAATTGTAAAGTAATCCGGATCGGGTCCTTGGAAAATGACAATTTGCCCTTCACGATGTTCTGTAGACAGGATCCCCTGGTGGAACATCTAATCATTAAACTTGAAGGGCGCTATTCTGGTTGGTTCTTTTATGCACTGTATTACCATGTCCTTCAGTTAATTTATCGATGCCTGTCAAAAAGATCCCAATGGTATCGGTTTGTCATGAGCCACAGTTGACCAGATTTAATAAATATTAGAAGTCGTTGATCCCGACGGGATTGGAATCCATGCTCTAGTACCACATGTGTTTTACCAGCTGAGCCACGAGGCCACGCCGAAGGACTTAGAACTTCGCATATGAATCATGCAGTTTACCCGCCTTAACTACAGTAGTACACGACATACGTCATAGTGAACTAAAACAATTTGACTTCCTAACAACCAAACATACACATGTATTCAACTGGTGTTCACCAGTTGAATCACAAGAAAATCCTACTGTAAACAGGTAAATTAGTTTTCTGTGCTGGATGTTATGTGATACTGTAATTAAGGCGGGTAAACTGCATGATTCATATGCGAAGTTCTAAGTCCTTCGGCGTGGCCTCGTGGCTCAGCTGGTAAAACACATGTGGTACTAGAGCATGGATTCCAATCCCGTCGGGATCAACGACTTCTAATATTTATTAAATCTGGTCAACTGTGGCTCATGACAAACCGATACCATTGGGATCTTTTTGACAGGCATCGATAAATTAACTGAAGGACATGGTAATACAGTGCATAAAAGAACCAACCAGAATAGCGCCCTTCAAGTTTAATGATTAGATGTTCCACCAGGGGATCCTGTCTACAGAACATCGTGAAGGGCAAATTGTCATTTTCCAAGGACCCGATCCGAATCACGGATTACTATACAAATCAACCATAACGATACTTTCTCAAATTGTGACGGATCTCACAACCGAAATCGCGTATTATAAAAAAACGGTATAAATATGAACGCCATGAGAGGCACGCGAATTAGCTTGGAATAAACAAATCTCGCTTACTTCTAACACAATCGAATCTGCCAGCTCTGTACGAACACCATGAGATCCGGTTACTTCGACAAGCAGACGATGAAAATCGCCGTGTCGTTCACGATCCAACTGAACAAGCGTGATAAGCAACCCGGTGTCTGGAGTGACATGAAACAATTCGGGCCGACTGGATCTGATCGTGGATCGGTCAGCGTTCGATAGACGGTCGTCACTCGGTATTATAATTTGTGTGGACCAATCAAGCGGGGTTGAGCTAATCAAATGGAATCGAAGAAATCCATGTATTGCAGATTGAGGCTGTAAAAGACGAGACAGAGGAGCCATCACATACCCAGGAGGACGATTCTCCGGCACAGAGACACGTACTAATCCGCCACCAAACTGTCGGAATCGTGGAGGGGCCACATCAATCCCACCGGGACCGGGTATGATACGAACTAAAACCTGTGTATGATTACTCCGGGATACTGGTTGACCGGCATCTCGGGCGGAAACAATGAGCGTATGAGTACCAAACCAAGGTTCAGTGGCACCAAAGGTTGCCTGAAGAACCGATGGAAGCAGTGGATTCGTCTGTGAAAAACCACGCGTGGCCATACTGCGAGTGCGGTTCGGGAGGAGAGATTTGGATAAACGTAGCTCTCCAGTTTCTCCATCGATGTTGAAGAAATGCGCGGTATCACCTAATAATCAGACAAAAGGAAGATGTAAACATTGATTGTCTAATGTTATTTCTGAAGAATGAAAAATCTATCTGTGACATAACAAGCTAAGTGAGAAGTACGAGACAATGGTCCGTTCGAGACATGACCAGAGTATTACACAAAAACAAGAGAAATTGAACAAATAAAATATTGATGGAACGAATCAAGTCAAAAAATCGTGAACTATGTTGTATCTTCAACTGCAAATCATGAACTATACCTTTCAGGATCCTATGAAAGCGTGATGCTTCTAGTAATGAGGATGCATACAACAAAAGTAAACACAAATCAAGGGCACCGCATCAGTATTCGCACAAAATAGCGTTTGTTTCTACGGAGCCAACTGAAGTAGTGCATATGTAAAAAAAAACGGAATGAGCGGCTGATCAGGGCGTACACAGTCAGGTCGATCAGTTGGCAATAGAGCCAAGCGTTTTGATATATGCAGCGGAATACAAGGTAACCGGGTAATTCCAATACAAACCTCTCAAATTTACTAAACGGCTGGTACAGCACAAGAAGCATGTGGGTGCGAAAACATCTTTGGAACAAAGGAGATAGGAACCGCACACAGACAGCAACAAAAAAACTCAGCCGGTCAACGGCGTGTTGAGATCAATGCCTGACTGACTTAGTCCGTGCGTTTCCGTTTGACCGAGTAGAATGGAGCACCAATGAATGGGTGTACCATAACTCGGGCGGTTTTAGCATGCACTAACACCTCTTTTCGAGTTAAACAATTTTGGAAACGATTAACGCCAGAAAAATTTGACCAGGCACAAGGTACTGGTGACGAGTCTCTAGGATGCGTGGGCGACTGCGTCGGCAAGCACGAACTTCCCAAAGGTGCTGGCACAAAACCTACAATACGGACACGACTGTGAAAATATATATATATATATATATATATATATATATATATATATATATATATATATATATATATATCTGTGTGCCTTATGGTCCATGTAAATGTGACTGAAAAAGCATACACTGAGAATGACGTGAGGTGAAAATCACGCACGCACACACACTCGGTGCCGATACGCTATTAAATGAAAAAGGTTGAGAGAAAAATGGCTACACCTTGTAGACACAACCCATTGCGGTTTTGAATGGTTATTTCTTTTGTCGTGGAATAATTACCTAGGCAAGACAATATATGAAAGAATGAAAACGGGTTAAATCAATTATTCGAAAGCTGAAAAGTTGTTCATTTGACACTGGCGGAAGATGAGGGTGCTAATCGTCCAGTTCGAACTAAACAAAAAGAACATTGTTCCCATTAGCCCTGTGTGAGTGGGGTTTTAGAACTCCTTCTGGATTAGATATAATGCACAAAAACCGACTGAGACTGCGCTACTTGTACTCTGTACAGATATAACCGCGTTTCGTAACCAATCGTACAGCCCATGGGGGACGAGAAAAGAGACGGTCTGGACACCAGTGGAGACATACTGTAGACAGCTATCAAACATCAGGTTCACCTGCCAAAGTGCAGAAGACCATTTCACTGATGAGTCAGAAAGGTCACTTATGGAAAACTTTATTGAATCCGGATAAGATCAATTCACAAAATAACGTAAATTTATGAACTGGGGATGAAGGTAGTGAAATAGTCGCACTCATAACTCCATGTGAATAACGAACCAAGAGAAGCGTGACCTCGAGCATGAACTACACACATGACAAATAATATTCTAGAGAAAAGAATAGTCCACATCGGGTTTTATTCACACAAACAACGCATGCAAATGAATGGAACAAACATATCGGACTAGCCGGTCGTCATGATAAAGGTGGTGAGGGGGGTGGATGGAGGAGCGAACAGTGGAATAGGAGTACGGGGCGAGTGTGGCGAATCAGTTGTGTGGACCAATGTCGGAAAAGTACGATCAGTGAATTGTTGCAGCTCACAAATCTGAATCTGATATATTGGTATAGGTGAACTGAAGCCAAAACCATTTGGGTTCGAGCAAGAACTCGCAAATATTTGGGGACTCTACGAAAAATCTCATTTCTCGGGTTGGAAGGGAAGGAAACAGGACCGAGCAGAAATGACCAGTGGATGGGAATCAAAAGAGGAAAATGAGAAGGCAGTATGGTGTACCGCTGTTCAAGCCATGTCAATTATCCATTAGAAAAGGTGGAGTTTTCCCTTCACGAACATTCTTAAGATAACAAGCGTAGTGTATTCAATGAAACGGGAGAGAAAACAACAAACTGAAAATTGCTCGAAAGAACAAATTATTACTTAATTCCGAATTAATGATTAAAAAAGACTTGGTCTAACTGTGAGCCCTTATCAATAGTATCAAAGTAAACTAGAGTAGTCCCTTAATACGCCAAAAAGACACGGCCACCATGACTTCGATGGACGACTTAACGAAAACACATTTGTGTACAAGACTAGTTAGTCAACTAATCAGAACACAGAGTAAAGTACAGTATGGATGATCTGTAAAAAGGCCGACAATCGGTAATAGAAAGAACTAAGCTGGTCGGTCAAGTGCAACCAGCCCCAGAAAACGAAAAACTGTCGTGCGGTAAACACTGAAACGCTATAACATGAAAAACTGGGGATCGGTACAAAAACGCCCGCCTCCCACCCTCTCCTTGACTGCTTTCATCGCCATCACCCAATTTCAACCTGGATCCACGAATGTCTCGACGGAGAGGATTAGAAATTGGCTTGAACAAGAAAACCTAAGTACAACGGACTGACCGAATAGATGAAAACCCTGCATCACAGATGTGATGTTGCGTGCAACATGGAAGTGAAAGTAAAAATTGCGGTCCAGTTTAAATTAACAAACCACCAGGGTAACGGAATCCAAACATCAGAGTGACTGTGAAGATAAGAAACAAAACGACCGATACAATACTGTCAACACGACAGACCTTTCACCTGTTCATTTTATGTTCTGCATTAGTGCATACACTCCAAGATACGTAGTCATAATCAGAATACATTCCTGCACCATCGGAGAATCAGGCAACGATGAACATGAGGCTTGGAATGGATAACCACATGAGGCTGCAATAAGTACGTGAGTGGGTTACAATCCGAACGACACGCAAACGAGTGAGTGATAGCCGGGAATACAGACATAAAAATATACGGGCCCCCACATCATTCTGGATGGATATCGATTAACGCGCACGGTGAAGCTAAAATTCAGCCAAATTGGCACTGGACGGCATAAACTGATAGACAGTTTGGGTAGCTGATCAGATCAACCAGGGCAAGGATGAGGGGAGGGTGCGCATGAAATCATAAAAGATACAGACACTGATCCGTCCGTCATACGAAGCAGGTGATCAGCCATTTAGATGACTTCAAGGTTGACGGAAGTAGACGCACAGAAGGTGGAGGAAAAGAGAAAGTGATTCATCACACGATAGATATCTGCTCATTCATTCAAACATGGCATGTACTGAGGCGGTATGACCGAGGAAACAGTAATAGAAATGAAAAGTATGAGAAACCATCAACAAGATACCTAGTACAGGATGTATGGGTACATAGGTAGACCTGAAGTCAAAATGCGGTTCATTAGAGTTGAAGTGATTATCATGAAAATGAATGAGATGTCATGATTTGGTCGCCACCTAGTAGTAGGAGAAAAAATTGGCCTGGACATAAACAGCAAGTAATCAACTTTAGACGGTGTAAGTATAAATCACGAAGGCGAAGAAAGGATTCGAATGCGAGCAAGTACTTGGTTACTGATTGTGTGGGTGCCGGAAGTCTAACAAGCTCCATAGAGTCAAAATCAATGGTTAGATTTTTATGCCTTTTCGCTATGCCATCGACTAGTCACCTGAACATTTACTCCAACCGATACTTGTCTCGGAGAACAGTGTACATCGAGGAGTCTACCAGACGTGCCCCAACCACCGCAACTTGTTCAGACATATCTAGTATATCATGGATACTTTGAGATCACCTTAGCAAGTATACCGTTGAGAATGTTCGAGTTGAATTTCGTCAAAATTCCAGTACACGATTTATTGTTATTAAAGTGTAGCTGTTTACTAAAATGTTATTACACGTGCATTCGTGAGCCGATAGCATATTCAAACAAAGGAATATAATCCAGTTCAGTCCAAACAACTACTACCCATTAACTGAGCGCAGTGGCGTTGGTTGGTTTTTCTCAACGGAAACCTCAATCGGAAATAATGAAAAAATAAGACTGTGACTACAAATAACACCAAGTCGACAAAGAAAGTTATCGAATACAAGAGTACCACGGATCGCAATAACCAGCCACGTTCCCCAGTGCATCTAACCCCTGAATGGAGGATCACTTGAACTCCAACCATGAAGCCTAGCATGACCCTGCGTTGTCAGTCTAATTCGGATTCTAATATACCGCTAATCACGAGCAAACTCACGAAAACCATCAAACTGAGCTAAGAACAACACTAACATATAAAACTACTGAAAAAACCTCCAAGAATAAGTAGAGTAAAAAGAACGGGGGACTATGGTTGCTTTCTGTTAGAGGTAAATGAACAGCACAAGGCTAAATGTCAAAAGGTGACAAGTACGTAAATAAGGTTCCCTGATGACCTCCACATCGTATTTCAGGGTCACGGTAGCGGATTCTTCTCGACATTGCAATGAGAAGTATCTAGGGATTAATCCAAATAATGTGTGTGAACCAGATGACTAGGAAGGGTACAGTGTGATGAATTGTGATGGATGAAGAAAGTTTGTTATTTGATGCAGTACGTCAACATCACTAACTGGCTCAATATTAGCAAACATTGCTCGCCGGCGGTGGACAAACGGTCATCATGGTGAACTTTCCACTCCTCTGTCCCGGATTTGAACCCCGCTTCTGACACCGGTCACTCCTCAATTAATAGCATCTAATAAGCCACGGTCTCCTTCCCAAAATAATGTACCATTATTATTACATAATAAAAGGAAGTAAAGAAAGAACAGTCTTCCGGGTGGAGGATACACGAGGGTTGCAGATATTCAAGCACCGATGTCTACGCAGCATTGCTCGAATATGGTGGGAACACCGTATCAATAATGCTCAGACTTAGCGGCAAGTCTTAGGCACACGGACCAAATCACTAGATGAAACACCAAAGCTCACTGGGCTAAGGTGGCTGGTTCATATGTTGCGCATGTCCTCAGGTAGGAGTCTACGCGCGCAATGTTCGATAAGGAGGTAATGGTTGGAAGATAGGCAAGGATAGCCAGTCCATGACGTGGAAGAAAGGTATGCAAAGCCCAACGAACGGTCTTAGTCATGTGGGACGTGTTAGGCTTCTTGGGTGGGGTCAAAGAGACCTTCCCACTTAATGGTCAGATACACTAGAGCATAAAGCCTGGTGCCGCGGTCAGTGGCGCTCTTGGATTCACAAATTATCTTTGTCGACTGGATACTAATACTTGTAGTTCTCTACTTACTCACTCAATATTTCCGACTGAGGTTGCCGCTGAAAGATAGAAATCAAAGCCACCGCACCCAGTGTATGGTTAACGGTTGTCCGAACTGAACTGACTACCGCAGGAGGGGCAACGCAACACATTGTACTGCAGTATAATTTTGTCTGATTTTGTGACTTCCCCTCATACATATTAATCTACGCCTGACTTCAGCATAAATGGTTCGATGTTGATAATAAATTTCTGCAATGCATATTCTACCTGACAGTGACCAAGATAATGAGCCGTACAGAATTGGCTTAATTACTTCAGCGTACATATTGAACCTTGGATGGAAAAACGAATGGTCGAGGAGAAAAAAGGAAAATCACGTCAGCATCAAGATAAGAGAATTAAAGAAGTGGGACTGGGTATCTATTGTGACGGGTTATTTACTCACTGTGAACGGAGAATGACAAAAATGATAGCAGGTGTGTTAAAAAAGCAACCGAAAGCACTGAATCACAGTCAAACAACTCACCTCCTATTATGCTATACGTGATCCGACCGTTTATTCCGGGATCCGGATCATAGGCCAAAACTCGACCAATAACTGAACCCACAGGACTTGAACCAATCACGGGAAAGATGAACGAAGAAACGGGTACGGAGTTTTCCGTCGCGGAGAGAAACTGTGGTGCGTGTTCGTTCGCATCGGTCACATTGATGAACAGAGCAACGAAACGTGCACGATTTGTAGTATCCCGTGAGTCTCTTACAGAAATGTGTAGATAATGTTCGGCTGCTATCTCGTGGTCCAGTGCTCGTATCACATGTAATTCACCTGGAACAGGATCAGTTGAAGATTTTCACTATAGCAAATGAACTAACGCAGAAAGGATGACAGGGGTGTGAGAACGACTTGTCACGGTTGCTGAAGGTATCGTATCGTGACCAGAATCAGCATCTGTTATGCACTGCTTTATTTTGCCTGAATACCCCCACACGTCATAACGCATTGGATAAAACATACTTGACTTGAATGTATCTAATGTGCACACAATCCAGAACACTGGTGCAATACAACTAGTAGAAAAAGGGTGGAAACTCTTTTGAGTGATGAGTTCTCCGGCGTGAAGTTGGTTGATGCGATGAGCGAAGGCAATAAGATCGTGGAACCTACGGTCAGACAGTGGAGGATGTGGTGTTTTTGTGTTCGCACCATTCATTCATTTAGTCAAGGCATTTTACTTCTAATTCTAATTAAGAAGGTCTGGATGACACAGTATCCAAGTCTGCCGAAATCAGTACACTGTCACTGATTCAAACTTAACCGAAATGAATATCTAATCGGGAAATCAATCATCACACGGAAATGTTACTGGACCCAGAAAGAATGTGGAAAACGAGCCTTGCCTAGATGATGATTCATAGCAAGTGGAAATAGCACTCGTTAGGTGCAGGTAGTCACGGTGCCGTAAAATAATTTCCTACCCCCGCTGATTGGATTACATTTTTATCAGCCGCAGATAGACAGCATAAGTACCAGTACTCACTGAACTTTGGTTATTTAGTATCCCGGGCAAAAATAATGCGTCCTTAGACAGCCAATCCCGTTACCCCTTGAGGGTTCGCGGCAGTTTCAACACATACACATACATGCATGCACACAGACATACATACACAGGCACCATAACCCGACGGCGAGCGAGATTCACACGCACACAATCAATTTAGTCGCACAGATCGACAATGGGTAGACGTCAGTTGCAACGGTGTGTCTAGACAAGCTCAGGATAACTGACCAAGAGGCACAACTGGGTAAACACTACGGCGAGGCTTATCTTGCACCAGAACTACGAAGCGAGGTAAACCGAGCCGCTGAGTTCTGTGTGTACGTGAATCCATTTGGCATAACCACAACTAAACGAAGAGTAGAAGTGGCGGGCATTTAAGCGACGATTAGAGACTATAGATGAGTGGTACTCGATCAGAAGTGCGCCCTAGAGATGATAACGAATAAAAACAACTTTAAAGAAATATAGTGGGCAAACCGATCAATCTAACTGAACAGAAAGAAATCAAATCAGTTATTCCGGTTTCAAAATCAGCGGAATTTTGAGAGTATCACGAATACCGAAAAACAAGCCAATGGCTTTTTAATTCCAAACTAGCGCTTGATCACAGCGAACATATCATACATCATAGTCTGAAAGGCCTGCTGCACTAACACTGACAACCAGAGAACATCACTCTGAAACTCAGAGTTGAGAACTAAATTCAGTTTCAATAAATTAGGAAAACTGGTGGGCTGAACAGCAGTGGACTGCTGTTTACCACCTATGTGACCAGCGATGGCGATTTCCAAAGTTTGTATATGAAAGATGACAGAGATTTATGTCACACAATCGACACTGGTCGGATTCTTCGACAAAAAGTCAACAAGGAGACAAACTAGGACAACGCATAATTTCAACCTCAGGCACCTGTCGTAATCCTGCGGAGTTTCAAACTCGTTTACCACACACACACACACACACACACACACCACACACACACACACACACACACACACACACACACACACACACACACAAACGCACATACACACAGGAACTGATCCTTTAGCATTCATTTTTAGTTTCTTCTTCTTTTCTTTCCATTTCTTCATTACGGATTAAACAGCTCCACTTTTATGAAACATTGGATATCTCGAATTCAAGTCCAAGAGATGCAACCCACTCCCTCCAGCTACAGCAGAGAAAGGTTGCTAATGTTCGTGAACTCGACAAAAATGTATCCTGAGCAATTTCGCTGCGTCGGCATACTGCAGTCAGTGTAATTGTTTCTACAGTCAGTAAAATAAACACTGAGACCTGGGGTAAAGTGGAAATGAATGACAACACATACGACAGGAAGGAGCAAGAACTGGGAGGGGAACAAATGTCTGTTTACCAGAGTAAGGACAAACTGATAAGCCATTCACGCTGTTTGCACAGTTTGGGTTTATAGTTGAGACTGGACAGAACCGCGGCATACCTGAGTAATCTCGTGTTTTCAGTGTTGTATATGATCCTGAACGAAACGCCCGAAGTTACACAATATTATTGCTTAATCAGATATTGCGTGATTGATGGTCTGACTGTCTTGGGTTCGGGTGAATTGGTTATTCGGCACTTTTCAAAGTCAAACCGGAATAAATTTAACTACTGGGTGAGGCGACTAAGCATCCACACATGAAGTAATAGACAGTTTGATTTGATGACGATATTGGCATTCGTGTGGCTGCAAAGACGATGACCGATTTACCGGCGTAGCAAGTGTGCTTGATGACCGAATTCAAGCGCTTGCTTATTAGTCAGTTGTCGTGGTCACCTTTGAATGGGGGAACTTGTCACCCATGTTGCTGACTTTCCTACTCAAAATTGTGACGGGAAATCATTGGTAAGCGGTAGTATGCAAGGATGGGGTCCATGCCTGGGTTCAAATCCCGCCGGGGTCAACGACAGTTACCACTAAGATTAGTTCGATACAGGGGTGCTTGAAATCACGAAAACCCGAGTGAATCAAACTCGATTTGGAAGAAATCAAAGAAAATCATATAACCATCCGACATGGTTCCGCAAATTTAGCCATACAAGCCGAACAAGCAAAAGCGGTTCAGATATATACAGATGAGAAAATAAACTTACCCGTATGCTCATCCAATCCGAATAGCTCTCGTGTCCTGGGCTGACCCACAGTGACTACGGTGTAATGAAGTGCATCTGCAACTGACGAGCGCAAACGATCATCCAAACGTGCTCTCAGACGACAAATTAAACTACCCACCAACACGGATTCACTCAAATTTATGTGAACTACTAGTCCACGAGCGCAATACGGATCACGATTGGGACGCGGTAGATTATACCAAGTTAACTGGACACCCGAGTCTTTGGCAAACAGTTCCGGTATAAAATTGGGCAGCGAAGGGATTGTGTTCTCCACTTGGATGAGTATCTGTCATGAGAAGAAAAACAAAAAGCATATCGACTCAATCGAGTACCATGCTATTATCGAGAAAACTGAGGAATAAAAGAATGCAGACGGTACTGTTCGAAGCAAGAGTGAGACTGTATTGTCACTGGAAAACCACAAACCTATTAAGCAACTGTAACATTACGATTACTGTTGGCATGGGTCGAACTCAGAATGTCAGTTTTAAGTTAACTAAATGTCCAAAGAGTCAACCGAAAAAGGCGTTTCTAAAGTTTCTGCAGAAGATGGAATATCACAATAAACCATGACGCGTGGTACCAGCGTCACTGTGATTTCGTCAGAGATTACAAGATTACAATCACACTGAATGATGATCATTGCCGGTTTAAGAAACAATATCATAAACCAATTCTAATGGTTTCTTGCCAATCGCCCTATTTCTTTCTTACTAGTGAGGGATATCACGCACAGTGTGAAACTCGGAAATTATATTCCAATAAGAATTCAGTGGGTTTCACATGCAGAAAACGCACAGTGACTATGACAACCTGGCAAACGCCACCCTATTCGGATAAAAAAGATTTCGTTATAGCTGGGTGAGAGTAGACGGCTTTTTTGTCCATATAACCAACCAAAGGAATGTTGAAGAAATTTTTATGTTCAGCAAGACCAGTGGGTCAAGTCCAACACTACCTGAATATAACAGATACGAACGAGAAGTTCATCAGCGTCAATCAAAATCAGAAGTATTTAATGACGCCTTTGCCTTTGTCGTTTCAATTTGTCTTTTTTGCATGGAAGTTTAAGTGCTGGGGGATCGAAAAAATCATCGGACATCATACTTCGAGTCAATGAACGGGATTATTCTGCGCTGGGAATACGCGAAGTGATCTTCGGCGTTCAATTGTTGTTGTTTCTAGTGTGCCCGTTGGGTTTAGTGCAAAGAAGATGGTTCAGCAGCCAGTTCTGAGTACGGATACAACTTATTTGTGACAATCTTCTCCCCATTTCCGATCATGAATGCCGTGGGACGGACATGACCCGTGATCGCAAAGATCGACAGTAATATTCGGGATGACGGGCAATCGTGACCAAGAGAGTTACAAGGGAAAATCATATCAGGTCATGCACCAGCGACACCGATATTTTTTAAAAGCCTGCCACCTATTGCTCTTGATAACGCATGATTTCATTCTTTCTGGATTTGACCAACAGCGAGACTCACACCATCAGTTCAATTCAAACGTAGATACGAAAACCTAGCTTGTATACTTTATGTAAAAAACCAAAATACCAAGTAATTAATGTTCTTAGTCGTTTTCTTTCTCACTAAAACCCTCGATAGTCGAGACAATTAGGGATTCTGACGATGATGTTCAATGCAAACTTTTGGGAGGAAATTTAGATGAAAATTGTGTGCAAAACTTTGATCTACAGCAAATGCGTCTTTGAAATGTTAATGCTGGCGATTTCGAAAAAAAGGAGTGCGGTAGTACCATTACATCAGAAATGGCATTACTAAGATGGAGTGAAGGAACGCACGCACGTACGCACACACAAGAATGGTGGAAATTTACGACCTAGGAGTAAGAGAGTAATCGATATCAGTCGAAACTAAAAACAGACAATAATATCCTCTAGTCACCTTAGCAACCAGGAGATCTTGACCATTTGAGGCAATCAATTCCAACGACCAATTCGTGGTTCGATTCAATGTGACACGATCGGCCAAGAAAACAAATGCATCTCCAGACCCAATTCGACCTAGTCCGAACGGAACGCGAGCTGATCCACTGGCATCTGTTGGGGGGGGGGGGCGTAAGGGAAACGAAGTACTGATGAACATATTGCACAACATTTACCCGGTGAGAATATGAGGGGAGGAGGTGATAATGAATAAAGCAATTTTGCTCCCACTGTTAATGGAGTTTGTAGGGAACAGATGTCTGAATCCCTGCCACAACTTCATACGGGTGTATTTTATATTTCAGGACTAGATTCGAATAAAAAGTGAACAAGTATAGTGGACAGTGATACCGTATGAAGTGTCCGATAAAACAGCCCTAATATATCAGTGTGACCGTGTGTGTGGTGTACACTGCAGTTAAATTCAAAAAGAAGATGCAATTCATCAGTTTCGGGGAAAGGCATGCTACAGTTTGCAGTAGTTCTAAAAAAATGATTTGCGTCATAAGGAAAGTTTTATTGTGGACAAACGGCTTGAGCAACACATTTGAAATGGTCATCACCGAACGACGTACAATACAAGATAATAATACCGACACACAACCAGTGTATTGCATTTTGATTGACTTGAATTGATGTGAACAAACGTGCCAAGTACAACTAGCTGAGGGATAGTTATCACGTGGTCGTAAAACACCGTGAACTAGCATAACGTTGAGATTGAGGACTGTGCACAGAGTCCCTGGAAAAAGTAGTGGATAGCGTGAGATGCCGAAGAAAATTTAGATCGTTGATGAATCCAAGACTCACACCGGATACAAGCGATAAATAAACAATCAACAAATGTCTTCGAGACGAGGAAGGTCAGCAACCTGATGATGCCAACTAGACCGGTGAAGAAACCAAGTATCCAGGCAAGTACACCAGAATCAAACTGGTGAACTTGAACTACGAGGAAGAATACCAGCAACGACCCTTCTAATGAACACATTACAACTGGCGGAGCGCCAATGCACACGCCAAGCTCGTAAATTCTACCGCATCAACGAGATGATCAGATTTATGAACAGAAAGCTCTGCCGAATGATCAGTAGTCCTCATAAGCTTAATCGCATGCAATTGAATCAACTTTCCAGTGAATGCCAACGAGACAGCACCGCGCATAACCATCAATTATTTGTTCCAAATAAAAACGATGACAATGACAATAGTAAGCAAATAAATATAAGAGTAAATAAAACAAAGATTTTGAAAAGATATCAGTTGGATATCATCTACAATCAACCAGATGAAAAACTCTTCTTTAATTCAATTTGTAAGAATCTCAGAATCTCAGCTGGTTAGTTCATCGAAGGGACACACTGTCTGTGTCCACCGGCTTTGGGAAACCCGTACTCGTGCAAAGTATGAAGATATTGGCTTGTGATCACGTCCGTCTTCCTTATTCTTTATAAAAACTGATTCAAAGTGTTCTTAACAAACCGCCGGGCATCAGTTTTCATGGATGATTGGTAGTAGGAGCATAACGGTTGGAAAAGTATCGTGGACGTCATTTGTAAAAAAAAAAGGGAATAGTTTTTCTTGGTTAAGAAAACTGAGTTCTGCTAAAATAAAAATTACCAGAACACGTACACCATTGAAACGGAATTGGAGAAAAAATAGGCGAATATCAGTCGAGATAGACGACCAAGAGTGGACAGGTTGTGCTTCATCGCTGAATTGAACTACCGTGGAATTCATGCGTTCGGCCACAACGGAACAGTAACGTTTTCCATTAAAGCGAGACAAGCTAAAATCGAGCATTCTTATAAGCTTCAGCTTTCAAACCTATGCAAGGAAAAGCCAGAGAGAGTTGAAATTAGCTTCCTTAACTTTTCCACGACATAAGAATGACTGTCTCTTGGCACACACGCAACCATATAATTCGTATGCTGAACAGCTTATTTCAACTGGAATTTTCGGGAGGACACAAATGTGTGTGGTGTCTCTATCTTTCCCACCGTATTTTCCTCGAATAGATAACTGAAGGCGATCGATGACACTAACATCCAGTGCCCTTCAGTGTTCCCATTTCCAAGTATTTCCCAAAAGCCTATTGGTATTATTTCAAGTTGTACTATTCTCTCAGTGGTTATGCTTGGTTCTAGCAATGACCTGAACTACTCCGTACCAGGTCTCGGCGGATGCAATCACATTATACTCATTCAACACAAATTAATTTCATAATTTGACTTTAAAAATTCCCCGAATTCTACTAAAAGGAGTACAACGTTACTACTACAAGTCGGCTACAGCACTGGTGTAGCTTGTTTTCTACCACCGTGGTTTCTTTTCAGCGGAACTCGCTACAGCCCAATTTACTCAAACCTACGATTGGAAGTTATCCACACTAGTCCCGCAAGCAGCATGAAATAATGAACATCGGACATTAATGAGAAAATGTTCACTGGAACTGGGCTCAACCAGATTGTTTACTGTAGGGTTGAGGGCAACGGAAGACTCACAAATTTGTTATCTTTTGTTCGGGGTGGTTGAACATTTTAGTTCCGCACAGTACTTTGCTGCTTTGGTAGGTCAGTTGTTCACTAATCATTGGACAGGAACCTCCATATTAGATTTTGGCATCTGCATACACTTTGTGACTGGAAATGCCCATATGTTATTTCAAATCAGCCTACTAATAAGCAAATTATTGGGCAAAGAGAGGATATTCATTGCAACGGATCATACGCAGAATGCCTAGTGAGAAATGTCATGCACTGGCACAATCATTGTCTGAGCACCTAGTTAAAGCAAATGGTTGAGTGTGTAATGAACAGCAAGAACAACTAAACAAATGTGAACTACACCAAGGTAAAAAACCTGGATTTTATCTGGTTCCAAATTCCATCATTCTGCATCCGACCATCTACCATTCGGGCAGGGAGGGAGGATACATTTACAATCCTTTGCCGAAATCAGTGATCAAGTCTAGGCAAGGAACTGGGACAAGGGAAAGCTTTCCTTTAAAGAGAAGATAAGTTTAAGTAAGTCCGCATGCGAAAGCAGACTGTGTAATTTGTGGTTTCGGAAACACTGAGATTTCTGTATATTGGCACAGTTGTTTGATTCCATCAAACTCGGAGAGTTGTACGGATAACTTGTTTTTATTACATGCTTGAACATGAGTGCAATGGAAGGTGTATACCTCAGTTTCAAAGGCCCACCACACTATTAGGGATGACCCGGAGCCGGACCGAGATTTGGAGCAGAGAATCACATAGGGTCCCAAAAGGTCAGCTGTGGTAACGAGCTGAACGACAGTGGATCACTGTCTACCACCAAACGACTACTGTCACGAAGGGTAAGCATGAACATTATGCAACGATAGGATGGAAAAGTAACCAAATGATCATGAACGGTTTGACAGAGCGAGAACATTGCCATTTATTTGGGAGATATTTCACAGTCAAGTTAATCAATTGAGTACATGATAAAGATACGAAGTACTTGAAAACATCAATCAAATGCGAGTCTAAGCAGTCACAGAGTCTGTGCTGTTTCTCTGCTCATATTACAACGCTTTAACTGCATGGTAGCATTGCACTGAGGACGGTATTCCCTTGATGGCGCCACGGATGAATAGGGAAATCCCTGCTAATGGTCGCGTGTTCGATAAGCAAACCCACATCGTGTGAGAAAGAAGAAAGGATTTTAAAAATCAGAAACAGAACCAGTTTGAGCAATTCGTTATCGATTAGCCCTGATAAAACATACAAATGACACAGTAAAGTGGGTAAAGGTTGTGAAAATTCTTCTGGTATTTAGTATACAGGAAAGGGATAAGTGGAAAGTGCGGATGCACTACGGTGATGAGACTAGAAAGATACTAAGGTGAATAGGAATATATTACGCAATAATGGAGCAGTTATGTGCTCGGGCGTGTACACACGCAAATAGAGATAAACGCAAGTAGGTGTACACGCGTGAACTGCACTGGTGAGTGAGAAGGGAGAACGGGACGCAAATGCGTTGAATACGACCGGATAAAATAAGCACAGATGAATAAACTGGGGTTGCATTAGACGGACGAGTAGAAATTATTCCGACCGTCTGGTTTATCCAGGTTTTTCACGTTATCGCATCTTTCTTGGGTCTTTCAACTCGGCATTATTATGACCAAAAAAGAAAACAGACGTTCCATGGATATCGATTACTTTTCCAAACCACCAGCAGCCGTCACAAAAAAACTGGATATTTTGAAACCTTGAAAAGTGACAAGGCACACAATTAAGTATAGCTAAACATTTAGTTATCCAAGCACGTATTATTTAACTTGAATCTCGAGAATAAATAGACATTTTAAGGTACATCATAGGTTCCGTGTTATCATTTATCAAGAAAAACTGATATTTTATTGCATGCTTACGAATGAGTCCAGTGGAAAAAGTATACTTCACAGCCACAATGGCCCTATGCACTATTACGAACAACCGACAACCAGATCTTAAGACCTGGAGTGGCGAAGAACCACATAAGGTCCCAATAGGTCAAGTGTGATAACAAGGCGGACGACAGCGGATTACTGTCTACCAGCAAAGTGAACGGCGGTGGCGGGATTCGATCTCCGTCACCAACGTTGGTCACAGTTATCGTGGAGAGTATACTGTCGTTCGGTTCTACAACCTCTAATGTGGATTAAATCACAGAAATACTATGCATCTGCTATGTGCTCCTATCATTGGCCGAACCTCTGACTGCGTTCCATCCGGGCCGAAATACTTATGGATCTGTTAGTCGACAATGACTGTTATAACACGCACGCACATCACTCTGAATTCTCCCATACGACGAATGATCTGTTCCAACCAATCAAACTTTGGAACCGAGTCATAGTTGCCTGATGAGCAGCCCTGTTTCGCTGCACGTGGATGCATGTACTGCTTACGATCGCGACAGGTGATTCACTTGCTTGTTCACTTATGTACGAAGAAACGGTTTTTACTATGTATCATGTGCTGCCAGTAATGGCACAGACAACAGCACCTAATATTCATGCGGAGAATCGTATGCAGAAAAGGCTTAATACTATTCAGTAAATTTATTTCTAGAAAAAATTTTGTATGAAAAGCCGCGCTACAAGTTTCATGACGGAGACAACATCGTGCCGGATTTTTTTAAAGCTAAAACCGGCTACAATGGGGCATGCACGCTGTACTCAAACGGCCACCATCGGGGACTTTGGATATTGACGTCCACGGATTGAGCTTTACCACCACCGATCCCCCCACTACTTGGCAGCATTTCATCGGTCGCCGCCTCCTTCCAGAAACATTGTACTTGTCATATCGTAAGCAATATAATTTTTACTAAAATTATTATGGAAGCGGAGCATTAAGAATACAAATTTACACTTTACCATGTCGAACTTCGTAACTGATGAACGGGTTTTGCATTTTCTCATTTGCACCGCCATGTAAGTAACCCCAATTCGCATCATAGTCTGAAACTTGGATATATGTTTCTACGATCTAGGTGATAATAGATGTTGACTGCGGCAGGATTTGGACCCACACATGGTTGCCATGCACGATTTTATAACGCAAATGTGTTACCAGCTGAGCTATATTATCACAAAGACAGGCTTCGAACTTTTCGAATGTGGATCATACAGTTTACCCGCCTAAATAACGGCAGCATATGGCATCCATCACACAATGAACTAACTTGTAGACTTTCAGTAGCAGTATTTCTCTGTTGTAGTGGGAAATGCTGTAGAAACAGAATGAGGTAAGTATCAAACAGATCGGGTCATCCAATCGAGAACCAAAGACCAAAGAGACGCTGAATATGTCGGAAGAATCCCACAACGGAAAAAGATACATGCGAACTTGTAGATGGGAATCAGTGAAATTTCAGGTAATCAGCAAGATAGCCCATATGAGGGGCTACCGATCAGGCCGTCAACCGGAGCAATCGAACCAACACAACAGAATCAAACTAAAGACCGCAGGCACCTGACCGGAACGGAGCCGAAATACTCAAACAGCCGAACGACCGATGTTGGTACATCGCAGTCTGGAAAAAGAACTATTTAAACCATTGTACATGTTTTACCAATTTGAACTGTCTGGCTGGTCAAATACAAGTGTGCCTCACCCGTCTCGAGTTCTTATACTAGGAATCAACCAGAGTCCACATGGTCTTGGCCAACCAAAATGGCGAACGAGCAGGACAAACGGTGGACTGTTTAAACTAGCACATGTTAGTGTGTTACGACATGTAATTGACTCTCACACAACAGCACTACTGTATACATGGCCCAAGAATGATCCATTTTATGGGGTGGGCTTCAAGGGCTGCGTAGAAAAGTGAACGGAAGGCGACAAAATCGGTTCGGAAGAGCGTGCAACAAATCAGGTTTGGGAAATGCACTGAATCAGAGCACGGATTCAAGTCAGTCAGGAACTTACCGACCAGATAGAATGCCAAACTATTACCCATCGGGTCGAGGGAATCAACAACGCCAAATGTGAACAGTCGATGTCCGGACAAATGTTGATCGGATACACGTACCAGCTTCGGTGGAGGTGTACTGAATTGTAAGGTTGTCGGCTGAGCAGATGCAGTCAGATTGGCAAAATGAGGTGTGGCGACAACTTGGATCTCAACAAGTGTGGCTAAATTGTTGTTTGCGATCCAAGGAGGTCGACCACGGTCTTTAGCATACACCTAGGGACAGAAATGAACGAAAAATATACCCTGCGTTGAAATCCAGGACGACAAAACTATGCATTGTCCTCGGGGTTCGCACAGTCGACAGAGAGCGGGACCAAGGTGCATTTGTTGAGAATACGACAAACCAGGTCGGCTGCATCACAGCCACATTTCGATTTGTTTACTCAGCTAGCAAACCGATTCAACGACGGTTCATCATTGTCTGGAGTATCACTCACTCACTCACACACACGGTCATAATTGATCGTATTGGCAATTTGGTCACATTTATAGCCCTGTTTTTTCCCCCTCAGGTGCACAAAATGTACACTGTAACAGAATTTGGCACGAAAGTCAGACATTTGTTCGTTTTGGCCAACTGCTTAAATAGCACGCAGTTTCGGAAACAACAACAGATTCATAATTACGAAAACTGGTAATGAGTTCACAACAGATATTTGAGAGGACAAAAATGGAGATAAGTATTCGCGGACGGATAAATAGGAAACTGAGTAAAATATAAGACATTCGAAGACGAACACAGTTTGGATATCGCGTCAGAAGGGGTCTTGTTGAACGGAAACAAGTCAGTTCAGTCGCATATAGCCGTTGGCATTGATCATTTCACTGAGGAACAGGAAGAACTGTACGCGCCAGTAAATTGACTGACTAGTGTCAAATTCATTTGAGTTAGTTTTAACGACTATAAACTCTGAAGCTGATTTTTCTGGGCTTGTTTACTGTTTCTTACAATAAAAGTGCGAAAAAATGAAGGAAAACTAGAGGTGAAAAGAATGAGAGATCGAAATCCAGAAAATAAATGAGAGGTATGAAGTATATTTTCGGATTATCATGACACGTGGATTCACCAGACAGCTTGTAGTAGGGGTTTGAGGGATGGACACACGAATTCGAGTTTCTGGTTACTTCACAAGGCGACATCCACACGTTAAGGGGAAACCGGACATCACGTAAATAAAAACGATAGCTTAGATAATTTCCATTACTAATCACGGACTAAGTATAGTAGAGGGGGAGGGGAAGTAGACAATTATTCCGAACAGTAATATGACGTAAGCTATTCAGTTCTTATATCGTGAGAAGAATCGCTGTCTCAACGAACATTAGCTAAATCATATACGAAACTGATGATTAGTGCCATTAGGACAGAATGACCCAAGTGGAGGTAATTACAGCACACAATCAACCGTAAAACATCGACCATCTATTTTCGATACCTCACAGACCTAGTTGAGTATGACGATATGCAAAGAACCCATTGGCAAGAGAACTCGGATAAATTTACGGATGATAGATAGCGGCTGGGATGGGCGACAGGAATGCGAAGGAGTAACTTACTCCCAAATGATATTCGCCGATAGGTGGCGGTGAACTCTGGTTTGTGCAAATCAACCCGGTTTGGGTGTCTACATCAAAGACGGTGGCGGTAGCGGCGGCACTGCCAGACGCCTCAACCGATGGGGTCATAGTGTCGCGCCAGTAGAACACCGTACCGTTTTCCAAGTTATCCAAATCACTGGCGAACACGCGACCAACACAACCGCCTGATTTTCCTGAGGAGGAGGAGGAGGAGATAGCATACCGAGGGGCAGACGAAAAGAAGGGTGTTACGACGTAGGTGTGTGTGAAATAACTCAGAATGAGAATTTACGTGAATTTTAGAGAAGACGAAATTAGTCACTGACACTCAGGCGTAAGTGACAACACACCAGACAATGTCAGAAGAAAGAATATGGATAAGGATGTTTCCCGGATAAGAAACCGGCACAAATTTACTAGAATCGATTACTAGTAGGAGACGTAAACGTTTAGTCCCTTCTGTTTAATCGATCATTTGCTCGAGGACTTTGGAAAACATTGCATCACAAGCTTACTATTTTTTTCTTATTCAGCACCCATAATGATCCGATGCAAAGAGCTTATTTCGAGGAGGACAATTCCACCTTGGTGGTGGAAAATAGATCCAAACAAAAAACAACCAACTGCAGTGAACTTGGTTATAAAATGTGAATTTAACCGATTTATGGTAATCAATTGAACACGATGAAATGAATGGTGATTGGTCATTCGTTGCACATTATAATGAATCCCGAGATATTTCCTATTGAAATCACTGTTAAGCACATGCCAGCTGTTTCTCCGTACCTAAATTACCTTACATAGCGCCTATAAGCAGGCAACGAAAAATGGTGCCTAGGTTTGGTGTAGGTTTTTCGACGATTTTAATCATTTTGTCAACCCATGCTCTGGGAATCTTTAGGTGCTATATCCATTTATTTTCAACTAATCCAAATTCGAGTGTAACGGACGAAGAACCGGAGCCGATGTCATGAAGGAGCTGAATCGTCTGATTGAGAAGTGGTCCGAGGTAGTAATTTCATTCTCAGATACAGACAAAAATGGATGGAATAGTGTGCACCGCGGAACAGGATATCATTATCACGTGCACCTAAAGGTGAAGTAGGGTAATCTGTATCAGATACGTGCACTCTATATGACCCACAATTAGAGACGCAAATGAGTCAGACAGAAGCCTTGAAGAGACCTATTTCGCATACAGAGTATGCCATTATTCATGTATTGAACTGCGTGGAATGGTCACTCTGTCTGGCTGTGATTTTTCCATGGGCAAAACAGCCTTTGTGCAAAGATCTTATCTTTTGTACTACGCACGTAACGAGTTCAAAATGTGGACCAGCCAAGCCCCCAGAATGACTAATACCACAGAAGCTGAAACTGTAGTGGTCGGCCACTGGTTAGCATCTGAAGACACATCGGATATGTGCATTTGTACGGAGAGCTGTGGAGTGATACAACGTGTACTAAAATTTCACAAATACGAAAAAAACTGGCGTGCGATCAGTTAGGATGGACAACGTAGAGACTCCTAACAGAGACAAAATCAGATCACAAGGCCGATTGGTCTCATCAACCGACGGTAGGATAGGCGTAGTCTCCAAGTTCCATTATTATTATCGATTACTATTTATCTCGGAGGATTGAAAAACACTTGGAAGATGAACCGAAATATGGATATCTAAAGAAACGATAGCAACTTAGAACTGACAGAATGCGCGCGATCGGGTTTGAACAGGAATAATAACTGTATGGAATTCATACCGTTGGAGCAGAAGATGAACGGAATAAATAAACGAGAAAACAGATTAGAGCCCAGTTGGTGTGAGCTGAACTCGCGTAACCGCGAATGTACATTATGCTCGACCTCCGTATCGGACTAGAAGCCAACAGAAAAATCATGATATCCGCAATGTGATAGCCCTGAGCACTGACGGCGGTGTTCATAGTTCAGACTAAGAAGGTTTCCATAAACTCTCGATCGTTGAGCTCAACGTTTAGACCGCGTCGAGTTAGCCGACCAATTAAATGTATCTACTGATGGAATCTGCTGAAGACTGACAATCTCATAGGAACTGTTTCGTGTGGTTACTACCTGATACAGAAGTTAAACCCAATCCACATTGGAAGTACGACTTTTTCGATCCCTGTGAGCAAGTATCAGGAAAACCGGATTGTATGTATTACGGTGACCGATTTGTGTTCCTACATTTATATGGTAATCAGATTCGGCGATCAGGCACTTATAAAAATAACTGGAGTGTCAAATCAAGTCAACACAAGAGACCAAAACCCAATATCCTGATGATATAGGTACAGACAAATGAACAATGAGCGCTCCAAGTCAAACGAGGATAATCGATTCTAAGAATACACGTCAGTCCGAAGGATACATAGTCCGGAAGATTTGTGATGGTCTTTCTGTCGTGAATTCACAAAATAAAATCAATATCTGCACTTATTGGCGGTGTAGACAGAGATGTTTGTGAATCTTTTCGCTTAATGACCTTCTGGGTAAACTGAATGGTAAAAAATGTCACCGCAATAATACTGAAAAACCAAAACCAAGCGCTGGAACAGCCGAACTATTCACTCATTTTTTAGGTTGCGAACATAACGTTTTTCAGAAGCACGAAAAAATCACTTGGGTCTAGAAAAAATAGTGTTTGCTTTTCGACTAATCTTCCATCGGACCTACAAGTTTTTTTCCCTTGAAACGCACACACGCACAAACACACACATGAACTGGGGACGCCAAACTATGCGGTTATATATTCGTGAACAGTGACAATCGTCCTGTGTTCACTCGGACAATTTCTTTTCATTTGGCAACTCAATCTGCGTGACAATAAGCGAGTGAGTGAAAGAGAGAGGGAGAGACGAAGTTCAATTTAGGCGGACGAGTAATGAATCAAGCATAACAACGATGGACTGTATCAAGCCGTAACTGGAGTATAAAATATCTGGTCGGCAGACTTCCAACAGTGTGCTTGGTTTTTGGCAATGCAGAAAAAACAACCGAAGGAGAGACAGTCACTGAAACCGCAGTGTGCGAATGTGATGTTGTCAGTTTTTCAAACAGAACAGAACAGGACGGGGAAAATGTTACGCGTGGATATCCATGGATGTTTTATGAACACATCTCTGCTAGTTTGACTGCAAACAAAACTAGTTGAAAAAATAGTTACAGTATAGAAAGGGAAACAACATGCCTGATAATTTGTAAACTAGAGTGACCGGATGTGAATGGGTTGACTCAGACAGTGATCATTTGTTGGAACGAACGGTCTAGGAATTTCAGGCTACTCTTGTGGACGACAGACAAACGAGATCAAGACCGTATTATGTACTGCAAGACTTACTGAGATCTGTTGAGTAGGCGCGGAAGTAATATGTAGGTGTAGGTTTATTCGTTGAGGATCTCGGAGGAACTGGTCCAAGTGGGATGAATTGTGGGGCTTGATCATTTGCATCCAATACAAGAATACGTACAACTACAGTGGAAGTTTTCGGAGGCTTTCCACGATCTGATACGGACACCTGTGATACGTTTAAGGAGAGACGAGTAAAGTGACAGGTATTGTGGATACTACAAAACAAGTTTTGATAAATCAACGCCAGAATATATTTTTGGGATTAGTAGCGCACATTAAGAGTCAGTACGAACGGTACAGACTGAACTCCTGCCGAAACCAGAGCACAGAAGTGCGAGTTTAATGGGTGAATAAACTGAAACTGATCGCGAACGTAATACAAGCCAGTTTATATATGATGATCCAGTAAATGAAATATAACAACGGAGTGGGTTGGATTCAAGAGTCTTAAAGTGCTCTAGGTGGGGTAAAGGGAAATTTGTTGGGTTAGTGCCAAGTTAGACAGATATTTTGTGTCAGTTATGATCATTCGAGTTTCCTGGGGCTGCCAAGCAAGACAGAAATTGGCGTGGCTAGCAACGCTGTTTGATTTTTATGACGATTTTGTACCAAGTCCGAGAATGGTCACCTCAAGAACAGTCAGACGATAAACGTTTCTTTCGGTAAACGAATACAAGGATTGTGCTCACAAAATGTTGTATACCGTGAGAATTCGACATTTTTTAGGACAAAAATAATCGTAAAGTGACAAACGAGGTCGTTAGCTTACATCCGCCCCTTTCCTGACACCCTAGCATCGCTCACCTTTTGGGCTTCATGGCTCACGCACACACACAGAACCTAAAGGCACAAATGATTCGTTAAGTGAATGAGCCTGGGGCAAGTGAAATGCGGCAGATAGATGCCTCAGGCTAGAAAAGCAAAACCCGGACATTTACAAGGCTTTGGTTTCTCTACTTTTACTGTGGCCATTATTGCAACTACCGTTGGGGTTCGGGACTAACCCACCAAATTTGAGGCCTTAATAATTCCTCCTTCCAACACAACGAGCTCAACACCACCATCATACAGGCATCGCAGTTTGTTGTGTTTTAACTACCTGTGTCAATCAAGTGCGTGTGGCAATTGGCGGATCAGAGCTGATTCGCACGTGCCGCATCAGACAGGAGCTAGGGACGAACGATATGGGCAATCACCACTACTGCTACTACTACTACTACTACTACACACACACACACAACAGGCACAATAATGAGTCATTCAAAGAACCAAAGCCGGAGGGATCTTTTGGATGAACGTGAATCGGTACTGGTTAGACAGGCACACCGCCTGTTCTCGCTCTCGCAGACAGGAGGAGAAACAAAAATTATGCGATGACTGTTGGCGAAACCCATGAACCACCCAGCCATTTTACACACCAACGTACAGACGTAAGCACACGGGTAACCCAATCCTGAAATGTACCGGCAGTGGTCGTAGTAGTCATGTCTGCCATGACGACAGCCACAGAAAAAAACAAGCAGTGAAAAGATAGTGGGCCTCATCTGGGTTTGAACGCGGATTGGACTGGGGGGAGGGGAGAGAGTGAGCTTTGAAGAAATTTGCCGGGTGTTCACCAACTTCCACATTTATCTATTCGTTCGACTGTACGATTGCCCATCGCAAAACGTGGAACAAATCGATGCTGTCTGAGGAAGAATTCGGTTTGTGACTGTGTACGGGTGGGTATTACAAACCACTACAGAATTACGAGAAACAGAACGGTCGACCTGGAATTTGGCAAAGGGGAGTTTCCCGAATATAGATCAGATCAGATCGCGTGAAGTGTTAAAACAACCCAACAAATGGGACAGAAATCGGATTCGCTACAGAGCTCACACAACTCATTCTACCGCGCTCACCCACACCGCGGCCACAGCAGTACTACAGGCCTCCTACCCCCACAAAAGTAGACCTCTAGCATGCGTCGGGTCAGCACACGTGCACATGACAAAGATGGCACATAACCACGGCGAATCGCCCTGGGGCATGTGTATTCTGTGCACAGATGGCTGAGTGGGTGAACAAGCAACCAAGTCAACACGCAGAATGTAGCACATGAATAGGTCAAACGGAAAAAACGCACAAATCAACCGCGAAGATTGACTATCGAAAATACATCCCATATACCTGATGGCAGCGCCCACAAGTATGGGCCCCGAGCTGCATCATTCCATTCGAAGAGACATTAACATTTTTACTCTATAGATGACTTCAGACTGGAAGGTATTTATTGATGTAGTGGCACCGTACATATTAGGAGAAACTTATGGAGCAGATATATGGTTATACATCATTTTCAATGCCGAACGAGGAACCAGCCTCCAACAAATCAACTATTAACATTAAAATTATCAACTGAATAATGACGTTAGCAAGAGAATGAAAATGGGTCTGCCAGAGCAACAACCTCCATGGTTTTGAGAACTGGTGTGCGTCTTAGCTCGGGTTGCTGGCAGTTTTCATAAGTTCCTGATTGAGCCGAGGTTGGCGTTTAGAGGTCGCGAACATTTTATCATCAGCTGCGAGGTGACATCATTAGTGGGCCTCGACTGGTGATAAAACGTACGAGACCGAAAGGCTCAGCTCAGCGATCAGGAATTTATGAAAAGGGATATAATCATAGGGTACAGTGAGTTGCTTGGCTATGTTAACTGTTAACAACTGATACCTTGATCAATTAAAAAGTGTAGAATATTGTTAGAATATGCGTGAACAGATGACCGATATATATATATATATATATATATATATATATATATATATATATATATATATATATATAGTGTCACGGAAAAAACGATTACAGACGATGGACGATGTTTTCTGCATGAAATGGTTGTTCCCCGGTTGACAAAGAACACACTTATGAAAAACAAAACAGTTGCAGAGATCCGTCCATGACACCGCGATGTGAAAATGTGGCCATTGCTTTTCGTCCATTCTAACCACAGGGTTTGACCAGAAAATAAGCAAATAAACCGGCAATGGGCCACATTCTCCCAGCATATTTTCAGAGACGAGTATTTTATCCTAGATCGGCACGTAATGAAAAGCACAGACCCCTAACAACTGAGATTATTCCGTTGCCTGATAGGTGATACCTAAGTATGCAAAGACGTTTGGACAACAGCTGAGGTGCACTGAAGATTACAGAGTGGCGCCTGAACGGTCATTCTATGAAACTACATCAGTTTGCTAATCGTAAACTGATTTATCATCACGTCAGAGAAAAGTGTATAAAACAATAGTGCAAGTAGAATAGCTGATTTCGACTCACCATCAGATTGAGCTCCGCTTTACCTGTTTCATTCAAAACTGCTTCTCTATCCAAGGGTCGAGCTGTGGTTCGGATGACACCTATTGAAAATGTGAAATTCTAATAGTTATTTTCTTGGTTAGGCTGGGAACAACGAACAGTATAAGACCCATAACCGCGAGGGACTACTGTACTACCATGAACTATCAATTTTGAACAAAAGACTTGGACTGGTGAACTGCAGAATGAATACAACAGTTCAAGCGTGAGAGTAGAGTACTATGGACTGCCCGGGCAAAAATGGTCCCCTTACTCTACAAAGGTGTCACTACCCTGAGAATGGGCGGTGATTTGTCTCTGCGTCACGATATAATTTTAATGGAGTGTGCCCCCAACAAAAGCTACAAGAGAAATCCCATGAATGTTTCTATCGGAATGAAGTGAAAATTCGATGTACGAGGATATATAATTGATGGGTCACCGGCAGCCCATCCAGAGGAGTTACTATGTCGTCATTACAAACATCCCCAGAAAAGATGTACGAAGTGCTGCCATTGGAAGGTAGGGAACAATAAATACCCTGAACTTATCACCTTATACGACAAAACAGACAGGGTACCCGCCTCTGTGCTCCGACTCGCTATTCCGAGATTCTAATTGGTTAAGGGTCTGAGGTGAGTTGTCTTAAGTCAACTTGCATGACCTGACAGTATAGTCGATCACGATCCACAGCCGTGAACAGTGCATATTCAATTCTATTGATCAATGTTGTTTAATCCTGATACCAAGCCTTTTTAAGATGACATTAGGTATATATATATATATATATATATATATATATATATATATATATATATATATATATATATATCAAAAGCATTCTTTCTGTCAAGTAACAAATAAGTCAGAAAACTCACATTTATTACCACCTAGGTTGAAACATCATAGAAAGAAAGACAATATCTTAAAGCACGTATTTATATACTCCTATCAAGTTGTCAGAACTCGCAGGTGCACGTTTAGTCGACTCATCAGTATCAGCCGTGAACAACACAATAAAGCCAGCAGATGTTATTCCGGATAGTGTAAGGTAAACCTTGTGCACAAGAAGAATTTGATAGCTTTTGGTAACCGTATTCAGCTGAAATAAAGTGTACTATTTTTGTTGAGTGTGTGTTCAACCTCAGCTCTTAAGCTCAATAACGGCAAACCCAATTACAAATGTCTGAGACCTTTGAACATAAAATACTCACATTTGGGTTAAACAGTACGGACCTAGGTGGTTATGGTGCACAATAGAGTACACTTAAATCTTATGAATTTTGTTATTTGACAGGCTCATTTCATTTTTTAAGGAACACAGATGGCTAAAAAAACAGAACAAAAGACTGAAACACACCTGTCTCTGAATCGATGTTGAAGTGGCCTTGGGGATTTCCAGCCGTAATACGGTAGTGCAGCGGTTGTGCGACAGTGTCCGGATCAGTAGCTGAAATTTCAACGACTAAAACACCTGGCGGTGTATTCTCCATCAGCTCTGCCTCGTATTCCGGTGCCAACGGAATAGGAAAGTTGTCGTTCTCGTCCAGAATCTATGCACATTTCCCAACGGGGATGAAAACACACGGAACACCATGAAGTGTTAATAGTACAGCTGAACAGTGAAGATGAGCAGTTGCAATCAAGCATTCTCTGACAGTTAGGAAACAGGGAAGAAATGAACCGATTTTTAGACCTACCTCGATAAACACCTCAGCAATCGCATGCATGGTGCCATTGGATTCGGTGGCGATCACCTTTGAGACAGGGGGATCAAACCATGTGCCGAAAGAACTTTGAGGTTGTTTCAGAGCATAAACAGTCAACCAATAGCCTCCTTCATCCGGTACAGATTCGGCGTCTAATATACGCATTGTTCTAACTAGGCCTGCGTGTAGATGGGGATTAATACATGAGCGAAAAAAGTGATAAGTTATAAAAGTATATTAACGTAGAAAAATGGAACTGCTTACGCCGATTACTAAACGGCACTTCGTATGAAACCCCACTAGATGTAACTTCCTTGTCTGGTGAAGCCACAACGCAGCCGAATAATGACTCATCAATGAACGATGCAGACACGAAAAACTTTTGAACAAGTATGAGTCTGATATTAGTAGTGCTAAGTTTCTATATCGACCAGAAACTAAAACGATGAGAAAATGTGAAATCGTCTGTACGGTGGGCACAGTAAGTAACAAATCACATATGGAGTGGATTAAGAATGCTGAATTATGTACTAAAAACGGAATGGTTTACCGTAGATGGAGGAGTGGAAACTGAATAAAAACAGCCATATCTCTAAGAGGTCCACAAGAAAGCCACAACCCGTACTACACTTATTGTGAGCACAACAGTAATATGGCGATTGCTTGGCTGGTGCCGAATGGCTATCACGTTAGTTGGCGAAGCAGTTAACCTCGGCAGCTATAAATAATTCACGCTGTCTTAATCAGTCTGGATCTGCACATAAAACGCGCGTTGCTTGAATGTGCTAGTAGAGGCCACTATATCAGATCCACGTAAACATAATCGGGAAATGCTATTCGAGCGTAATTCCTGTAACGCACTTTCTTGGGCTAATGGTTAGGTTCTTCAGCGGCAGTGCAAACGGGCCCAAATGAACTACTGAAAGCCATGTTGAAAAATATTGAAGTTGTCGTGGAATTTAGTGTAGATCATCTCACTCATCATTACAACAACTGCTAATATCTGGGAGGCTGACGAATATTAACACCAGTCCTGCCGACCGTCGATGTTTTAGACACAGACAGCACTATATATGATCACTGCCTTTGTAATCAAGTCTACCTAAGACAATAATTGCATGATATGAAAAGAATACACGTCTCAAACGGATTAAAAATGGAAAACGTAACAACATGTAACCGAAAAACAAACCAGTGATCAGAAAATTATCACCCCAGAGAATCCTACAGGGAGCATTCATTGAAATCTCGAGTAAATCACATGTAGTTTCTCTTCAGGATCTGAACGTGATGGTAACAACTTCAATACGGCACGAGAAAATCCGCATCATTTAAACTGTTTTCAGAGGGTTAGAATATTGTCGAAAACCGCAAATGACACGGTAGTTGTCAGATCGAAGCCACACATCTCCAAACTAAGCAAAAAAGCGGAATAGGTGAACATCAAAGGCACAAAGGTCTTTCATTTGCTATCAACATCAAAAGCACTTTAAAACAATTTGAGGCGGTGGTCAGTGTCGGGGCGATTAGTCGCACTACTTTAGGCCGCTCAAGATCAACCAATCACTAAAGCAGTATTAGTATCAAGCCTAAACGATTCGAGATTAAAAAGTACACATACCATTATCATCAATGTAAAAGTAGCCAAGTCCAGATCCACCCATGACGGCCAGGATTACGCCATATCCCTCAGGATCGGTGGCCTTTAATTGCAATGGACGTCTTCCAGTCTTTTCCATAAAAACCAAACTCCCTGAGCGCATGTTTTCACCAACCCAGCCTGAATACAGAGCCGGCTGTGGGTCAAACCGAGGCGGGAACATATTCAGTCGTACGGCTAGCACGTTCACCAAGAACGATACATTTGCCGATTGCTGCGGTTGACCATGATCCACAGCCCAGGCAGTCAATCTGAGAGACGTGCCCCGCCGCGCAGCCAGATCGCAGTTAGTGGCCAATTTTACCACTCCCGTCAATTGCTCTACACTGAAACACTCCACGTCTTTGGGATTACCAAATAAACTGTAAGCTAGCAATGCGTTCGTTCCTTCGTCCGCGTCTCGTGCGCTCAAAGTGACAAGATAGGCGCCTTCAGGCATATCTTCTGGAATGGACAAATGGTAGCCATCTTTACCAAACCAAACATCTAGATGTGGCTCATTTGGGTCATCCTGAGTTGTTTCGTCACCGACGTGAGTAGAATCCCCTGGTGAAGTAAACACGGGCGCATTGTCATTCTCATCCATGACTTGAACCACAATCCGAGTGGTACTGGAGTGCCTGTGAAACGAGAGACTATCCGGCTGAGCCAGGCGAAGCAGCTGTCTATACTGTGGTGTGACGGTTTTCTGAGAGAAATCGCGTGGTGGTTGACCGTAAGCCTCGACCACCAGTTCGTACGTAGACTGCTTTTCACGATCGAGACTACGCAACAGTTTGATTCGACCGGTACGTGGATGAATCTATGAAACGTTGCAGTATTAAAGAACGGAAAACGAAACATAAAAGTTTTAAAAACAGACAAGCGTAGAATAGTAGGAATTACTAGGAAAACAGTCAGAATCACTGCAAAGGTCATGACTGGGGAACTAGATGATAAGCCCAAACTCAACTACCTAATACATTATTCACGCCGAAGTGCGATCATGCGAGTATTGGGTGAAAATCAATGGTAATTATTTCAGATCAAGTCACGACGGCCTGTTAGAGTTGTAAAACTCTCTTTTCAATTCGAAAACATGTTACACATTTTTTCTCACTGGATTTGCCATAGGAATAGTTACGGTTGAAAGGGAAAAATCATCCCGGTATTTACTGCTGGAAAAATTGGATAGGCTACTATTATGTTTGAAACAGTTCACTCCCTGAGAGCAGAAGTTGCGGAACCATAGTTCACAAGGCTGCAGCGCAATTATGGTCTAGTATTTATGTTCTTTCTTACAGTCCGTGTGAGATTCACATAACCGTTGGTACCCTGAAAAGTGATAGAACAAGGTCAGCCAATGATAGCTGTATTTACCGTACATCTTCGAATTCAGATGTAAAAAAAACAATAAAGAGACCACGAGAGTCCAATACATGCTAATGAGTATAGTACAGTAGCTACAATGGCCCACAGCACCATCATGGATAACCAGCAACCAGACCGCGAGATATCATCATCAGCATCGCACAGCAATAAACAGCAGAGCAAGCCCCACTGAACACAGCCTTTCCCACCCCATTGCACGTTGAAATGTAAAGTACGAATGAACAGGGAGTGAACCTAAACGGGAGGGAAAAGATAAAAACGCCCGTTATCTTGGTGATGACGAAGTTCAATAGGAATGGAGACATGGGACGTCCTTGTGGAACACCATTGGTCGTTTCGAACCGACTGGATAGTTCACCGTAAACCTAACGCGGCCAGAAGTATGAGAATACAATGATCATAATAGGTTCACGAACTCCTGGGGCATACCTTTTAGATGAAGAGCACTGAAAAGCGCTGTTCGATCAAATGAATCGAAGGCGTCTTTCAAGTCTAAGAAAACCATTATTGTCCGTCGACGGTGTGTGTGACGCTTTTCAAGTAGTCGGCGAAGAGTAAAAATCTGGTCGATGCATCCTCAACCTGGGCGGAATCCAGCCGGCTGTTCGCGAGCAGGTGTAACACGGTGCAGCAGAATCGAGGCTAATACTTTGGTGACTATCGGAATTAAACTGATCCCACGATGGTTACTACAGTCATTGTGTGTTCCCTTCTTGAAGATGGGAACAATCAACGACTCGCTCCAAATTAACGGAATACGCTCATCGTTCCAAATGTCACGGAGCAAGGTCCTAAGTGATTTTATCAGAGCATTTCCACCCAGTTTGAAAAGAACTGGGGAATTTCGTCAGGACCGGCCGCTTTCCCTCGTTTTAGTAATCGAATGCATGACTCTACTTCCATTTCCGATGAAGGCTCAGGTGATACCACCCAAGGAGTCGCAGTTGTTGACACGGGAGTAACTACACTAGCGTACAGCCAGCTAAACTGGTCCTTGAAGTATCCGGCTTAACGGTCGAGCCTTGCTCTTTGCCATGGATGGGTTCTCCATTCCTATCGCGAATCGTTTCACTGACCTGGATGCGCCGTCCACCCGTGTCACGAATAAGTTTGAACAGTCTTTGACTGCTACCTGAAACAGCTGCTATTTCCATTTTTTCGTGATCCTTCCTAAGGCTTTTCGTAACTTGCTATTGTAGATGTCTTCGTATCTTATTCACCTCCTTAATGTTCGAGAGCTGACGCTTTTGCTCCATTATACTCAACGACTCTTGCGAAATCCAGTGTCATTGATGGACAACGGATCTAGGACTACAGGCAAAACCTGCTGCAACGTGCATCGCCTGCTGGATATGAGCCCAATGCTCATCTATATTACTGTTCGTCGTACATCCTAGCTCATGTCCTAACTTCTGTTCATAACGGGTGCGTACTTCTGGATCACACATACGTTGTACGGTTAATCGGGTTTGCGTGGAGGACCATGGAGCTGGAGAGATAATCGCATTAAAACTAATGCATGGTCCGACTTTATGTACGCAGACCAGTAAGATCTACAGTCCTAAACCGAACTTCGCCACCGGTACATAACCCACTGGGGGCCGGTGACTGATTGCTCAATTCCTACGCCGTTTGAATGGGGCCAGATATCCTGGGTGCCCAGTGCAACTCTCCGCCGAGGATGCCGGTGAGTAGTGTTGTACGCCTCATACGCCACCCGTAGTTGGTTTGGAATCAGGGTTTAGTCATCGAGTATATCAGGATCAAACGAGGTTCGCAGTGTATCGAAGAATCGATGCACCATGTGTTGTGGTTTCTTTAATATTTTATTATCAAGAGCATAGTGTTGTCGGGTTTAGTCACCTTCCCCAGGCTGACTATCAATCAGTCAACTCGGTGGAAAGCGCCGGGCATTCGCTTTCGTCCACTCGCTTTTGTGAAAACACCTTCACCACGAGAAGGCAGTGAGCAGAGCTTCCTCAGCAGAGGCTGTAATAGACACACGGTCAACAATTGGGAATAACAGGTCATCATAGTCCGAGTGATGCAGAACCACATAAGCCTTCCATAACACAAGCTTAATAACGGGGCGTGTGACTTTGTAGTTGCCTATCACGAAGGACAACTAATTTTCTTGTTTTGTTGCATGCTTACTCGTGAGTGCAGTGGAAGGGGAATATCCCATAGCCTCAGTCGCACTGCACTATGAATAGCCTCGTACTGAAGGGTGTGTGCCAAATAAGTTTATTACTCTTTTCCAATGCTTGTATGCGAACAGGCGAAGCCGAGTTCATGCTTAAGGCAATCTTTCTCCCGAGTTCACCACGGAAAAAGGTGTTCATCAGGGTTGCCATCTTTTGCCGTTCCTCTTCTGAGCATTTCGAGAGGTGTTCAGGACGAGTAGTCATCTCGGAGACTGAAGCAACCACCCTCGACCATAATGAGGCATTTGACTGTATATAGACTACTAGTCGTTTATGTGCTGTACAACTCCAGGGGCCAGTCGGCGTTCGAAAGGATAGTTGTGTTAAGCGCAATTGGTTTGTGATCTCGGCGTACGCCGCAACAGACTGCAGCTCCGACTTGCAGAAAGATGAGTTCTATGATGCCCTCGCCACTCTCGTTCACAGGAACGAACGTTTTGACATTGTAGTGCTAGCTGGTGACTTCAATGCACAAAATGGCGAACTTAGTGTGTCAGGAGCTTGTTGAGTTGGTTGTTGTGCATTACCGACTCAGCCCACAGATAACGGGGATAGGCTTCTCCAGTTTTGTTCAGATAATCGGTTATTCCAATCCAGTACAAATTTCGAACATAGCTCACTTCGCACACTGACATGACGCTCTAACTCTACAGATACTCCGAGCCAGATCAATGATATCGCAGTAAGCTACCGGTGGCGCAGTTCTGTTTAGGATTGTAGGTCTTACTGGTCTGCGTACGTAGAGTCGGACCATGCATTAGTTTTAATGCGATTATCTCTCCAGCTCCATGGTCCTCCACGCAAACCCGATTAACCGTACAACGTATGTGTGATCCAGAAGTACGCACCCGTTATGAACAGAAGTTAGGACATGAGCTAGGATGTACGACGAACAGTAATATAGATGAGCATTGGGCTCATATACAGCAGGCGATGAGCACAATATTACCTCCAGAACATTTTGATGGCGATCCTTGCTGTCCAGGTGCATCTGAACAGCTGGTTCATCGGTGTTTATCTTCTGACGTGCCTGCGCATGAATGCAGTCGAAGGGGTACAAAATCTACGAATATGAAAGTCCACCGCACTGTTTTTGGAATAATCCGCAACCCGACCCTGAGATTGGAGAGGAGAATCACACAAGATTCCAATAGATCAGGCGTGGTAATGAGCCGGCGGTAGCGGGATCCGAACCGCTGATCTCCGATGTGGAAATCAAGTGCTGAAGACCGATCGACCACCACCGGTCGAAGGGACGACCGCAACACCCGGTATTCCTAACAGGTATCCCATGGAGGTACTAACCGGGTCCGACGTTGTCTAACTTTGGTTCGACACCTTCAGTTAACTTCTGGAAAGTACAGAATCCGTCCCCCTCCACAAATCAGGAGCTCCCGCCAATCATGTCCCCAAATATATATGACTATATAAAAGGATGTTGCAGCCATGAATCAGCTACGGAGACGATGAAATTATCAAAACAAACCAAAGAATGAGATCTTCGCACGTCGTATTGCAAAATATCGACAAAAGCTTTGATGAGTTTCTACAGAAGTTGAGACGATTGACCCAAGATTGAAACTGCAAATCTGCAAAGGTGGAAAAAACCGAGAGAACGCCATTCGATTAGTTTTACAACCCGACTTCGTTGCCAAGTGATACGTCATTGCCTTTTAGAGGATTTTTCACTCGACGTACGTACTGCTTTCGAACAAGAGCAATGCCTAGAAATGGCCCACTGCCAGTTGCATTTACATTAGTTGGAAAACGCCTAGAGCACCCACAATGAATGTTGCGGAGCTTATACAGATTCCTAGAAAAGATAATGTCACCACTGCCAGTTACCCTATTGCTTCTGGTGCAATCCGGGGCAATACGTGTTAATTTTGCGATGACAGAGAACTTCAAACCAACTGCTGCGGAATCAAAAAGTCACTCAGAGACCGGTGAGAGTTTGAGTCGACTAGAAGTCCATGGGCTAATATAGAATGCTGCAACCAAACGGTAAGTATCGCCCTGGCGAGTTCAGGTACCGGTGAATACAAACGAGAGCCGCAAGTGCCTCATGGTTAAAGACGATAGCCACACCAGTACACACACGGATGCCTACTCCGTACCTAAGGTAAATAACACAATGACAGTATTATATGGTACCATCTTATACTAGAAGAACACGTGTATCAATGCAAGCGATCGGAAATTCACAGCATTTGGAGACTATGAAAAC